GCGTCTACACAGACAGACACAGCACGGGCTCGGAAGCGGAACACGAGCATGTCAGTTTCCCAACTAATTATTCAGCCTTCATTGCTTCAATGCAGAAGTGAAGTGGAGGTCTCAGGGGAATATATCTGGCGACCCAGGTGGCCGTAGGGCCTGGTTGATGTCGTATCGTGGGGGAGAACCACTGGTATACATGTACATGTAAGTACCGGGCATTGATGTGGCATTTCTCCAGCGCTTGGCCATCGTGGCGATGATCTTGGAGCATAGTGAACGTGGCCCTCAGGGACCGTCCATAATTATCGATCGGGAGGGTCGTAACTAAACTTTTTCGTTTCGTGAAAATTATCGATTATGCCGGATAGCCCCTTGGCCTTACGTGGGACTGAAAATGGAGAGAATATTAATTTTTAGCCAGAGTTCTGGGAGGAGGTCTCATTAAAATGCACTGCAGTGCAGCGGCACAGCTTCTTGATCCTCGAGAATCGGAAATGTTTTTTAGTCTTGTAATAATATTGGCCGGTAGCTCGATACAAACCTACATGTAGGTGCAATGCATGACTGTTTTCCTTTCAACAGTACACGTATCGGTACATCAATCTTCAAGCTCTTGACCCTTGCAGCTTGGCCGTGTGCTTGCTCTTGACTCTTGTCAGTCTTGAGTCTTGTACACGCTAAAAATATGTACAGTGGTCTGGTACATCGCAGTGCATTCAAGAGAATCTGGATTCCGCAGGGTTTTGTGGTGCAATGACTTGCCTATGTACTCACTCGGAAATCATTTCGCGGTCTGTTTGTTCAATACACCACACCTGTTTGTTGTTGTTGTTGCTGGTACATGTCATGTAGGTACGTGTAGGTACTTTTTTTGTGTAGGTACGTTTTTATTTGAATTCGCAGAACCACTGAACGGGCGGTGTCGCCCAATTTACATGGAAGCGAATGGAAACAATAAATTATTGTACGAAATGCCTAACATGATAGCAGGGTGTAGCACAAAGCAAAGAACGCTCAGTCAATGAATCACGTTAGAAATACAACACAGGGGAGGCGTATTCTAACGTTATTCATTGACTGAGGGTTCTTTGTTTTGTACGTATCCTTGGCAGACTGCGGCATCTGCGTGCCTATTCCCCACATGTACCTGTACAATCATACACTGCGAATGCTCGTGCTCTCTTTGAAGATGTTGTGTTGTGGGAGTCATGGCAGCTGGCCAAGCTGGCTCTTCCTGGTATGCACGGTGAGCTAGTACTGATTGTATGTGAGAGCAATGCATGGTGAGAGAGGAAACCAAAATGTAACTGTGTTAGTAAAACTTGGTCATGATCATGACTCATGCCAATGCCGATGGTAACCGTGAGCTGAGCCGGAACTCGGAAGATACTGATGTGTACTCATCCTCCTGCTGCGTGAAGCTCGGGCTGCATGCGTGCGCCATAACGCTAGCAGCTGCAGGATTCATTATTTTGTATACTCCGGATTCAACTCAATTACGAAAGGTACAACAAAGAGGAAAGTGTACCCTCCATTTAGTTATGATCAGGATGGAAAAGGGAAAGCCAGATGAACTGGAAACTAACTAGGCTGTGAACCGGGGGCGTTGAATGGCAATAGCGAAAACCTATCGCCAAACATCCGATTCGTTTCGGTAGCACCGGAAAGATCTGACACGCAAGCCCAAGGTTAGTGAAGCCTGTTTGGAGAACGATGCTCCAGCAGGATTGCTTATTGTAGTTTGAAATGGACTGATTCTGTACATATACAGTGTGACAATGTGCATGATGCTATGGGCATCATTTTTCCCATATTACTCGGACTTGAAGTTAAAAAAAAAAAAAATTATTTCTAATAAGAGTGTGTCCAAGCTGCACTGTAGCGCAGAGGAAAAATGGCGCGTTTACAACAATGACTATGTACATGTAGCTCCCCAGATTGCCCGTGCGATGGCAGCAGCGTGACGCCCGCACAGGAATGCGTGGGCGATGGCTATTTCGTATTTCGAGAGAAGTATATTAGTTAGTTACTTCGGCCGCACGTGATCATCATGATCATGATTGTACACCGTGACTGAGGCATGCACGTACAGTCATAGTCTCTTGACTCAAGTAGACGTCTTGAGTCTCCTGAACTGGCTGAAGTCACCGAACTGACCGACGGTCCGTGGTACGGTGGTGGCACTGGTGCCGTGGGGGGTGGCGGGTTGCTCCTAGGCCCCGGTGTAATCTGGTACACTAGAGAGGTTAAGTTTCACGTTTTTTGCCCTTTTTCAAAACGCGGTGCAAATCTCACGTTACGTGTAATTTTTAGAGGTTAAGTTACACGTGCGACGTGACGTGAAATTTTGCCTGGCAGGATTCGGGTTTAGTTCGCACAAATATCAAATCTTCCAACAAACTTGATAAATCTCGATAAAATTCCGGAAACTCACACAAATTCGGTCCGGATAACCGAGCGAAACTTCCAAAAACTCACGTCATGAACTTACGTGCGGGACAGTCAACTCACGTAAAACACGTCAAATTTTACGTGAGTTTTTTCACTTTTTGACGTAAAAGTTCACGGACGTAAGACTTTTACGTGAAACTTAACCTCTCTACTACTAATCATATGCCCGAAACTTTGCCGAAAATGCTTTTGGGAAATTCTCGTAAACCTTGCCGAAAATGCTCCTAAACCGTGCCGAAAATGCTCGGAAAATGCTCACTTTTTTGTCATCCTCAGCACACGCCGTCAAAACCAGGGGGTCAGAAAATACTCAATATTCCAATAAGAGACTTGCTCGAGTCTGCCATGGTAAACAATTCATAAACTACTCAACAAGAAGCTAACCCACGGAATGCGGAAGTGACGTTCTTGTTTGGGAAGTTTTTCTTCTCTCAATTTTGATACACAACGGCCAAGTGCTCCGTTTCCCCCAAAATGCTGCATCACGAGCCCGAAGTGCTGGGTTCGCGGATTGTACCGAAAATGCTCAAAAAAAATGCCGGCATATTACACGGGGGCCTAGTTGCTCCCAGTCACAGTGATCAGGTGGTGATTATGGTGCGCTGTCCATAATGCCGGTGATATGTAAGTACAATGTAATGCCACATCCATGCTTGATCTACAATACATCCGTACATACTATAGACGGTACTACACATGATCATTGTAACACCATGCCATGGATTGATACCATAATTGTACTACATGTTCTCTCTCAGTCTCTGATTGATACACTCTCGATCATGCAATAAAGTATCAGCCAGAACTAGAGGGTAGAATCAAGACTCAAGAGTACATAACCCCCTGGTAGAATGTACTGCAATCTCCGTTCTTGTTAGAAGTCATCTCCTTTCGTGGACCAAGGACAAGGTCACATCAGACCTCGCGTAGATTTGTGAGAAGTGAGGAGGGCGATCCTGATCGATCATTCGTTCCATCGACATCGTGAACCTGGAGAGTTTGTCAAAGTCTGCCACGTTCACCCTACTCCCGATCCTTTTTGATCCCGATCCCTAGCCCTGCTCACCACTACAAATTATGCAGACACCACTCACCAGCAGTACAGACAGTGTTCGCTTCAAAGCTGTCACCATGTTCACGACTCCCTGGCCTGGCTGATTGATTGGTGCATTAGTACTACTACTAGTAGTAGTACTATTATGGCTATGGCACGCACGTGTAGATCTGCCAGTTTGGCAAGGCGCTAGGCGCAGGGCGTGGGTGCGGCTAAATACGACTGCATGAGGAGCAGATCCTTATCCACTCTACTGCCTCTAGTCTAGCTAGCTCTATAAAGTCTACGACTATATCCACTCAGTCTCTACTGCCTCTACTAAGTACTAGTACTACTACTCTAGCCCCCCCCCCCCCCTACCTCCCTCCTGTAATCTGCGATCTCAGCCGATCTGGTACTGGGCACTTGCCTTGCACACGCCGTCACCGACCGTCTCTACTCCTCTTGACTTGCGGTAACCAACAGGTAACTGGCTACAATCATGGCTTGTCACGAGAGCTCTACCACGGACAGATAGAGATCTACGGGAGGTCTGATGTGACGATCAACGACTATAGCGCTAGCCTAAACCGTAAACGGTTGGCATAACGATGTTCGGGTGGTACTATCATCATACGATCGTAAGATTCGTTACCATCATACGATGTACGATCGTAAGATTCGTTACGTAGCGACCCCTGCCGACCATGTACCAGTACAGTGATGACAATCATTGTATGTGTGATCGTTTCGATCAGTCCATCACGGCAGTAGTGCCGCGGCGTTGACGCGACTACAGTCATAGGAGCTTTTTATACTTTTTATGGCCGCCCGGCATCAGTCACCTGGTCATCACCAAACCACTCTTGAAGTTGAAAGTAAGTTCAAGACATAGTAGTTGTACAGTATAAGAGTAAAGACTGACTATGTAACTACTTGTAAGCCACATGTACTCGAAAGTTAGTTGTGGAGCTAGCTACACCTGACACCGCCCGCCACACACCACTACTACTAGTACTAGTACTAGCACTAGTGCACTGTCACTAGCGCTAGTGAACGCACTGGTACCGGTACCCGGGCCGTATGGTGCACGACGTTCCATTTCGGCGTCAGCTGACATTCCAACAATCTGACTCAACATCTCGAGACTCAAACCCAGGTCAGGTCGCGGCGGGCGAGTCACTCAGTCCAGTCCATCCACATCACATACCGTCATACGTATACATGTACACAGGCGCTAGTCAGTCATCAGACATCAGGTCATAACACGACATAAGCCGAGGCCCACCGCACGCGCGGGTTAGATCTACGGTCCGGAGGTCTACCACATGTACGTATATCTACATGCACGTGTACGACGTAGGCGCTGTCGCTACCTATGCCATCTGGTACATGTACTGCGACATACCGGTAGTCATTCGCTGTTTTTCAGTGCAAAAGGCGCTTTGTTGCTAGCTCGTGTTCTGAAAGCAGAAGTGGTTTCAACTATTTTGGCATTGCTAGTGTAGTGGGGCGTCAGCGACAACTAACTTTAATACTTCTCGCTCTCTTCGGCTTCGGTTTCATCTGGCTCGCTCGCGCTCATGGTGCCTCGACTAAACTGCACACTCAGCTGCCTTGATGATGTGGTGTCGCAATCTATCATCACTCATGACATTTTTCTTGATCTGGTTGACCTTCTCGTTTTTTTCTTTGCATCAATAGAACACTGCCAGCATGCAATGTTTGCTGCGTGTTCGATGTGTAGTTATGTTTGAAGGAGACCCTGAATTCATGAACAGGGATAGCAGTTGAAGGCTTGAAGTGCTCACCAAGTGCCCTCTCAGCACGAGATTTCTGCCCGAACTACGCGCCAAGCAGCTCTTCTGGTCTGTGCCGAGAATTATTTGTGTGGTCTTGAAGCTGCTGCTGCTGCTGCTGCTGCTGTGTGCGGAAACGCTAACCGTCTTGCTGCTGGTGACGCGCGAGAAACTTCTACAAGCCACCAGTCAGCAGGGTGTTGTATGCTGCAGAGCACACTGCAGCTGCGAACCTCTACAGTGCAGGTTACTACTAGTAGTAGTCGCTACACGCCCATGGCTATGATGGCATCTCCTCCGACACCACTCGAAGATAATGTCACTCTGCGCGTGCATAGAAAAGATGAGTCTCAACCCTTCCTTTCAGTTTTCTCTCGAGAATACGACGACGAAAGCAGCGGGGAGGTCGCACCAGTCAGTGTTCCGGCGCACGGCTACAGCCTTGCACCTCCATTCCAAGATCTCCTACTACGGGCTCAGGTACGCGGCAGTCAATTCTCTTCGTCCGAATCCCTGCAGAGTATATGCAATGATCACGGCTTGATCGACATGTCCTCAAAACACTCTCCAGCAGTTGGCGCTAACGACGTAGCGGTCACTTCCGACGCGGATAATAATGCAACCATCGAGAGTTTAGCGGGCAATGGTGCGGTCGTCGGTAGCCCGAATGGATCTGCTGCTGGCAGCGCGGATGGCGGCAAACGATCATCTGCTAGTCGACTTACCCTACTGAAGGGGAAATCCGCCGCCAGTGCAGGGAGTCCCTCTCGCAGGAGCGGAAAAAGTCGTGAAATGCAAGTGGAGTTCGAGAGGCATCGTGGTGATGGTGCAGGCGCACCCCTGAATCGTCGGAAGTCTTGGAGCCGATTCAACTCGGCTGTGAAGTGGCTGCGACCTAGCAATAAATCGCGGAACGAGGATTTCAGGCGACTGTTTGGTGGCGAAGTGCCCGATGCGGTGGTTGTGGATGACTATTCATGTGCAGTGCACCGGGAAATCCTAGCCCACGGCAGGATGTACGTGTGCCAGGAGCACTTCTGCTTCTACGCCAACATATTCGGCTGGGAGACGTTCCTGGTGCTGCCCTGCAAAAACATTCTGAGTATTGTGCGCGAGAAGACTGCTCATGTCATTCCCAACGCAATCCGCATCACCGTGTCTGTCCCCGAGCACTCCATGAGCCCGCAACACAGCACTGCCAGTGGAAGCAGTGGCAGCAGCAGTGCCAGCAGTAGTAGCACTAGCACTGGGCGTCGGAACAAGGACGGCACGCGCAACTACTTCTTCACGTCGTTCGTGTCCCGAGAGACGTCGTTCCAGGTGCTGATGAAAGTATGGCAGAACGTGCTGATAGGTTCGCACATGAATGTCCTGCATCTGCGGAACTACGTGTGTCGCCAGTGGGGTCATAAAGTGGACACGGATGAGGCCAAGTCACCATGCAGAAAACCACCGGGCCATGGCACTGGACAGGTCGATAGTGAGGGTCACGCTCTTGGAAGGGCCGGCTCTATCGACGAGTTCTCCGACGTAGAGCATGGCGACCCGTCGCTACGCGAAGCGTCATCACTTGGGTCCGGAAGTGACGAAAACCCCGACGCATCAGCTGGTGAGGAGACAAAAGACAACGAGGACGATGACAGTGGAGTCGAGTGGCAAGAAGACGAGTGTGGCTGTGATGAACACAAGGGAAAGGTCTACATCGATCGTGTCGTGTGCCAAAAGCCGTCGGCGCTGTTCAAACTCATATTCACGCCGTCTCCGTTCATGCAGGACTTTTACCAGCAGCGCGGCTTCTTTGCAATGGAGATTGATAACTGGGAGCCGCGTGACAATGCGGGCAGTGGCGATGTTCTTGAGTACAGGAAGGTCTCCTACAAGATGCCCATGGACATTCCGATGGGACCCAAGTTCGCCTCATCCCTGGAGGAGCAGAGCGTACTGTCCAGCAGCCATCTGCCAAACATCTACATTGTGCAGAAGAACGTGACGAGCAGTGGGGTGCCGATGGGAAACGCCTTCTCCACCTGCATTCGTGCATGCATCACTCGCGGCAAGGAGCGCGGGACATCGCGTATCGTCGTCTCCGGGAGCATCAACTTCCACAAGAGCATGCTGTCCATGATGAAGAAGCTGATTGAGCGAGAGGCAACAGCCGGCATGGGCCGATACTTCACCGCGCTCTCAGAGTCACTTGATCATTATTTCTCGGAGGATGTGCCTGATGGCGAGTCATCAAGTCCGCAGTCCGCGTCGGTCCAGAGAGCGGCCGCCGCAACTGTTGAGCGCGAAGACCACCGGCACGGATCGTCCAGTGACGGCGCAGTTGACAGTGATTCTGGTCCCAAAGCTCAGCAGAGTGCAAAGCCAAAGACCAATGGACAGCACCATCAAACTACCACTCCTCTCACCAAGCAAGCCGACGCAGTCTCTGGTTCAGGGACGCTGCCGTTCTTCAGCCTACCTAGAATAGCTTACGGCCTGCTCCTGCTACTCGGAGTTCTAATAGTTGTTGTTCTGCTGCGTAGTCTTGTGCCGTCCACTTGGCAGCCTGTCCTATTGCTTGGTGAAGACTCACATATATCCCAGTGCCCCGTTGTGAAGTGTGAGGAATCTCCGCCGTTTCTTGCGCAGCACGAGTCCAGGTCTGAGTCAATATCTGACGGAGTACGATCACCACCGCATGTACAGAAGTGGGTGGAGATCCTGCAGCTGCAGCATGCGCTTCACGAGCAGCAGATCTCGCAGTGGCAGAACCTGCTGCACCTCACCTCGTCCACTCTAATGAATGTCTCCATTGCACTCAATCACCTACTGCACCGGCACACAGAGCTTATTGATGCACAGCTGCAGGCATGCAGTCATCAACGCAGCTAGCCTCACATGATTCTGCAACACCGGCACCACAGCTTGTAGGTTCACTCATGCCACATCGCAGTCCGATAGTTTGCCAGATCATGGCCCCAACTGGTCTTGTCCACACCCTGGTGTTTCTTAGACGGTATGACACTTACCGGCCTGAACTGAGTGTGTGTGTGTGTGCATGTGTGTGTGTGTGTGTGTGTTTTCTAGTAAAATTTATAATCTAGACAACTACTAGTGAGGTACTTGAACGTTTTTCAGCGTTACTAACTGAACTTGAGTTTGGAAGACGCCGAACATTATCTACAACTTTGGTCAGTACTGGTGCTATGAACGGACTATTATCATCAAACTACACCACGCTGGACTCAACATGTGCCACTAGGTTTTGATGTATCGCCTTTCCCACGGCTTGTCACTTGACTGCTAATTATCTTACCTTGACCTGTACCGTTTAACGTGACATGATTGTATGTGTGTGGGCGTGTATGATTGTGTATGTGTGTGGGCGTGTATGATTGTGTATGTGTGTGGGCGTGTGCACGTGTGTGTAACTGTATTTCCTTTTAAAAGTCTTGTTAGTGCTAAGATCAATTGATGTACTAGTAGGTGTAGTTTCTGCCAGGCTTTATACTACAGGAAGACACCCTTCATTGATGCTGCTGAGTTTTCCATAATAATATTACTATTATGTTGCTGCTGTTGATTTATTGCGTGTTACGTGCTGTGTACCTTCTCTTCAGTAGACGACTGACCGGGCTGGTTCCGAACTTCGTATTTTAGTGGTCGATACATGGCTGCCGAGTTAAGCTTCTCCGTTGATATGTTTAAGGCATCTTTCCTAGCTTTTTACTTACCTCGGCGTGTATGTATTTGCTGGGTTTCTTGAACTTTTTTTGTTTTAAAGTGACCCTTTGCTGACTTCTGACTTGGTCTAACATCTACACGTACACGTACCCACGTCAAGTTCTATACTTATACTGGATGTCACTGTGAGCGACTGTGTCTCGTGTGTGTGATGTGCAGTTGCGTGTCTTGCAGAGCTCGATGATTGTGTGCCATGGGTGTGTGGCTGCAAGTAAACGTGGTCATCACGGCATCGCGGCAGTGGCATGGGGACTTGCTGCTGGACTCCTTGAGTCCTTGCCTTGCATAACCAGATGACATCATAGCCCTTCTAAACAGCACGGTGCTGCCCTTGCAGGATCCTGTGCAGGTCAGATTGGCACCGCCAGGCTTCACTACAACAGTCGGAGCTCTCAGTGGACAGAGGAAGAGTTCTCAGTGAGCGTGTGTGTGTGTGTGTGTGTGTGTGTGTCACGGTGTGTGTGTGTCACGGTGTGTGTGTGTGTGTGTGTGTGTGTGTCACGGTGTGTGTGTGTGTGTGTCACGGTGTGTGTGTGTGTGTCACGGTGTGTGTGTGTGTGTGTGTGTGTGTGTGTGTGTGTGTGTGTGCACAAGTTGCTATGTCTAAAACATAGCTGTTCGCTATCATCGCTCCCGCGATGGGCATGTCTAAGGTCTGAGGTGTGTGTGTGTGTGTGTGTGTATGTGTGTGTGTGTGTGCATTTACAGCAACTAACTTGTTGACCAGAGCATGACGGCGAGGAGGAGAACCCACAGCATGTACATAACAGTAGTCCTGCCTACAACCGGAAACCGGTACGATCTGTGCGACCGTATGAACCGTGCTAGTATTACGGGGTTGTAGCACTGGAATATCAGGAAGTCTGGCCTGAGATCATGGTTGTGGGGTACTAGTATTTGACCCGGCAGAATTGACATGTACTTTCATCAGTCTCATGGTTATTGAAAACCCCATGGCGGTGTTGTTGTTCTTTACTTGTGTGTCAACCTATTTCGAAATAAGGTGCTCGTACGGTCCGACGGACCAGTATTAGGACCGCTACGGACAGTCTGTGTTACTATTAGAACGGTGTCTCTGGTTCAGACAGTCTTTACTCTGGTTCAGACAGTCTTTACTCTGGTTCAGACAGTCTTTACTCTGGTTCAGACAGTCTTTACTCTGGTTCAGACAGTCTTTACTCTGGTTCAGACAGTCTTTACTCTGGTTCAGACAGTCTTTACTCTGGTTCAGACAGTCTTTACTCTGGTTCAGACAGTCTTTACTCTGGTTCAGACAGTCTTTACTCTGGTTCAGACAGTCTTTACTCTGGTTCAGACAGTCTTTACTCTGGTTCAGACAGTCTTTACTCTGGTTCAGACAGTCTTTACTCTGGTTCAGACAGTCTTTACTCTGGTTCAGACAGTCTTTACTCTGGTTCAGACAGTCTTTACTCTGGTTCAGACAGTCTTTACTCTGGTTCAGACAGTCTTTACTCTGGTTCAGACAGTCTTTACTCTGGTTCAGACAGTCTTTACTCCATGCCAGGCCAGCACCGGTGCGGGAAGAAGCTGCTCGTTGTAACTATCTACTAAAATGGAAGATTTCCCTGCCCTTGACCTGCACACCGGTATTCCATTATCAATAATTATGCCCGTGCAGCCCCCCCCCCCCCCACACACACACCATGCACACGCAGTCACGCACACTGGGTTGTCATGGCACTATCGCATGTGTTAGTTGGCAACGGTCGTCACAGGCAGTGGGAATGCTACTTAGTAACTAAGCTGCTGAATGCTGACTCTGCGTCTGACTCTGAGACACTCACCTGCTCACTGAGTTGTTAGTGCTTCTCTTTTGCAGTGTGCTTCGTGGCTCTACTCAGCTCAGAATCAGAAAAAAATCTGTGATTGCAAGCTAGCTGTCGATAGCGTTACAGATCAGTTAGCGTTTTCGACCCAAGACATTTTTCAACGCAGCTTGACGCAACCGTAGATTTACTTGTTCTTTCCCTCGACGGGTACGCGGGTCAGCAGAGACCATCGATTATCCGCCAAGGTCCCCGCTACTCAGGCAGCAGACGGGCTGTGGAGTTCACCAGAACTTCTTGTATCTGCATCGAGCCTCGCATCGAGTTCCACTGAAGGCTTGACATTTCTCACTTTCCCAGCAAAGTGCGGCCTGATAATCCGCGCGCAGTAAGAAGCCTTGGCAGGTCTGCCCGCTATTCTTTTCCTCTCTCCAGCGACGTAGCAAGCAAGCGAGACTGACAACATCATGGAGGTGGAATCTTGGTGCACCGTGGAGGACACGCCGGCATCTAGTTGGGCCAGAGCTCAGCGCAAGCATAATGACAAGGCCACCGACAGCAAGGTGTTCAGTAAGGAGTTGCAGCAGCCCACTACGGACCGGTCCTCGGGCTGGATCAATGCCACTCATGAACCCCCACACAGGGAGAAGCGTCACTATGCGGATGGCAGTAAGTTGAAACTGTTAAAAACTTTTTTTATGTCGATAAAACTCATATTTGCAAGGCAGAGTGGGGGCATACATGTACATGTATCTCGGGGGGAGAGGGGTACATTCGAAGTGGCTCCTGGCTATTTAGACTCCTGCATGCCTGGCTGGTATACACACAGCGGCAGTGTGCACTGTTAACGGTGTTGCCAAATTTGGCAACACAATTGGCAAAATGTCCTGACTCCTGGGCATACCAGGAACCGGTCACCCTGCACCCCGGTATAAAGTGTGTGCAAGATGCCACCGGGGCGTCGGACACGCTACGGTCACTACGGTACTGACCGTACCACTTTTTTGCCGTAGGTACCCTGAATCAATATAATACATGTACACTGATTTGGGCACAATCGCTATCAGGTCACTAGACCCAAGCTTACCCAAAGCAGAAACAACAATCCAGAACACGTAAATGTACACTTTCAGCGCCACAACTTAGTTTTGTGTACACACACTCTCACATTCTCTGGGAGTACTCAAAGCACCAGGAAAAGGCATGAAGGTACCGATTGATTGGGGAAAGTCCCTGCTGCCAGAGTATGGAACGAGTCCGTGGGGCCAAAGACATGCTGTAAAAGTGTTGCTGGTTGCAGGTTATAGTTGGCATTATAATGATAGTTGAAGATGAGGGATGTATCCAGTCCATGTCGGCAGGTGTTGGTACTGTCGATCTCTTTCGATTTGTAACTTCATTTAACAATAGGGACCTTTCGCATTTGCTACGAAACGAATGCGAAACGAAAGTTTGATTCGGCTCGTAATCGTTTCGTTGAAAACAGATTTCAGGTTTCGCAAGTCGTCATGCAAATGTGCATGGCAACTACGAATACGGCCGCGGGCGCCGGTAGCTTGGCGTAGGGTTTTTTACACGCACACGTGCATGGATCATGGAATCAGGGGAAAAATGTGTACCTTGCAAAACATGTGTACCTATCCAAATAAATGTGTACCTGACGGATTCGGAGCGTGCCACGAATGAAGAGGCTTCCATTCGTGAAAACGAGTTCTCCGCAGGGACTCTGACGAATCCTCGTACCCAGGTGACGAATCAGCATTCGTTTCGTATCCGGACGCGGGGTGCGAAAGGTCCCTAATGTCTGCCACAGTGGGAACTCACTAGTGCCCAGCACGTGCCTACTGCTACCATAACCGTAAAGTGCTGATCATTAGCATCAGCAGCCACCACCGAGACAGATCAGTGATGACGACATTCCGAGTGAGACCGGCTACGTCCGACAACATTACACTACACAGCTCTGAGAAACAATGACTGTTGGATTCTCTTCCAATCATCAAGGACGTGTTCAGTAGCTGGCCGCTAATCCCGAACACAGAGAAAACAGTGTGAAGTCACTGCACCCACGATGATGACACTTGGAGATCCTCCCGTCAGCTCTGGTTACTCCTTTGTGAAAAGGAGGATTGTGAGTAATGAATGGGGTTGGCATCGACTGCCTATTGAAATGTACACACTGTGGGCCCATCGAATATAAGATCAGTGAGAACCGAAGACTACAACGGCACCGAGCATACGTCGAGCCACATCTGCTGTGTGTGGCCTGACGCAATCTGCATCTCGGGATGTCTTTCATCGCAAGCCATTACGGAACTTGATAGGCGTGGCATACCCCAACATCATCTCCTATCAGAAGTTGTACATAGCATGCACTGCTGAGCTGATATCCACAGCCGTGGAGAAGGCCCATTTGCACATTCTTGGCCATGCTGTCCGTCTGTCAGATGATGTACCTGTCAGACGAACGATGTGTGGATACTTCCGGCACCATTAACCAGCGCAGAAGAAGAGGGTGACCTCGAACCACACTGCCAGGTGTGTTCTTTTAATTGCCATGACGGTGAGATGGCAATGAGGAATATTGATAAGTATGATAGATCTGCTAATACTAGTAATAGTCAGCAACAGCTAGATGGAATTACCTGGGAAGGCGATGAACACTGGATGATGAAAACATGCTGAGACTATAGCAAGTGTAATTGAATGCGTGTGACCCATTCGAGATATCAGAAATCAGGGGGATGCGCGGAGCAGGAACAGGAGCAGGAACAGCCGCTCAAAAGAACACAATACATGTCGAGTAGATGTATTGTGTCGGAAAGAATGTGATACAAGGTTGGGTTGTGAACTTGTGATATCGATGGAGAGTGAGTTGTAAAGGGTGCGGGCACTGTTGATAGAGGGAATATCAGTGCCTGCTGGTCTCTGTGAGTCCGATGGAGTAGGTCCTTAGCTGTCGAAGGGTGTATGGTTGGTATTGACGTTGTGGTGCAAGATGTGGTGGGGAGGTTTGTTGGTGGATCGTGAGTTAGCTAAGGATGGGGACTGGGGAGCACTGCATGGTGAAGGAGGGAACTGTGGCGAACTGGTGCAAAGAGGGGAAACTGAAGGCAGATGCGTACAGCACGGCGCTGAGTTCCCTGCAGTGTGTACCGCGGTTGCTGTGTGGTATTGGAGAGGATAAGGCTGCCATATTCGAAAACAGGTCGGATGTACGTGTGTTGTATATAACAGGATGGAAGTGTTCATTGTGCCACGTGTCTTGCGGAGTTTGTGCAGTAATCTCTTGGCTTTGTTGGTAGTTTGCATGATGACTGTGTTAGGTGAACTTAGGTCCGTCACATATCATCTGGGAGTATTCCGCCAAGGTGCCTATGTTGGTGGATTAGTTGTAGCGAGGTCTAGTGGATTGTGGTGTGGATGATGTGTTGGGGTTGGCAGGAAAGGACGACGGTTTTCGTGGTGTTGACAAGGAGATGGCAATCAGTCAACCATCGTCATGCTGCGTCAACAACGCATTGGCGGAATGCATCTGATAGATCCCTGCTGCGATATGTCACGATGAGCGCCGCATCATCCGTACCTGACTGCATGTTTTGACATGCTAGTTTGCACATGCTGGGAGGGGGGAGGGAGGTAAATTATATACATGAGGAGCAGAAGAGGCCCCAGGACAGAGCCTTGGGAGACTCCAGCCGGAATGGATTGTCAAGACAACATAGCGGAGCTAGCCTTTGACGCTTTGATGGCGAGTCAGGCAGCTTGTGAGCCAGGCAAGGGCAATGTCACAGACACCAAGGTGCTCGAGTTTCGCCAGGAGGCCGGCATGACAGGCTCGGTCAAATGCCTTTGATAGGTGAAAAAAAGCACAATGGCACTGACAGACCAGCATCTCGGCTTCCGGATATCTCGTGAACTAGGCGGGAGAGCCGAAGTTCAGGGCTGTCCTTGGATCGAGATCCAGATTGGCCGGCCGGTGGGTGGGGCTCTATGTGGGTATAGAGGTGTTGATGGACAATCTTCTCCTGAACTTTGCTGACAGCACTCAGGAGCGAGATGACTGGCCTGTTGTTGGTGGTCTCTGCACGATAGGCTTTCTCGTGCAGAGACCTGATAGTGGCATCGCGCCAATCTTGTGACTGCTTGCCTCACGAGAAGAACTCATTGAGGAGTGTTGGAAGGGAGTAATCCTAGCGCTATTCTGGTGAGAAAGTACATGTACAGTGTAAACTGGAGAATTGCTTGCATGTTTGTGTGCATGTTTGTGACCACAAACGAATTCGCACATGGAAATGCTGCAACTGGAGTTCATTTCATTAGTTGCTTTACCGCAGTTCTACGCTTTGTGCTGGCTTATTTTGTGACTCGCCCCCTTCGCAAAAATATCCACATTGCAAAGATTTCCCAGTTTACAGTATGTTAACAGGATAAACAGCGGAGAGGACACTAGTACTGGCAGTCAAAGGTGTGAAAACACACAGTGGCCAAAGCTTTGAACAGTCAGTCACCTGTCTCCGGTCTGGGTCGGCCAAATCAGGAGATATCTAGCATGAAGAGAATGGGTTGTCATAGGGATTGCGTCAACAATGTACAGAACACTGAGCGACTCGGAAGTTCCAAACAGCATCTTCAATAAAACCGTGCCATGGCAAGAAGACAGACAGGTGATGGAGCATGATGTTGTATGTGCATTCCAGCCTCAGCATTTCTGGTCTAGCTGACGTAGGTGACAACTGAACACAAATTGCCGTAGCAGTTTATAATAATTATTGGTTTTTCTTATGTTGCCTTTCATTCTCCCAGATCGAACAAACTTGAAATGATCGCCGGACTCAGTGACACTTGACGTGATGCCTGACTGAGTATATGATTACCATTCTGCTGTCCGTTTATCAAAGACTTACTTCGAAGTACAATGAAAATCCATCGCCAGCCACCTGCCTTAACTACAAGGATATCTTCTAAGTTCTCACCCATGTGGCCCGGTGTATGGGTGTTGTTTTTGAACGTTGAAGTCCTGATCACAAGCCCATAAATAAATCCTTTCCCTTAGCTGCACGGTGACCCCGACACAGTGGTATGGACATACTACAGAGTCGGCGGGCTGGGAGCCATGAGTTCCAGAGTGCCCCAGGGCTGGGTGAACTGTTGTAGCTACCGTACACACACCTGACATGTACAAGACAGTATAACTAAGTGTCCTCCAATCCTGCGATTCCTGTTTTATAGCAGAGCCACAATATTATTGAGCCTGCAGTTGTGCTACTGGTGTCTTTTTTGTCCGACTTCAATATGTTCACCATATCCTTGATACTATTGTTAATTTCTAGATACAAGAATCATGGATGTACAACAAAAAAGCATCCCAATGATGCAGATAGCTGTCGAGTTCTTCTGAATAGACTTCCACAGGAGCCACAGACATACTTGTCTGATTGACATCTAGAAGTCAGATTGCATTGCACTCCCAGTCTATCACTTGAACTCACTGTGCATGTCCATTGCATGCATCTACCTGTATTAGTCTTCTCTTGCATACACTGCATACACTGACGGTATAATTATGTTGTATCTTTCCAATAGTCAATGCAGCTTACGACTCTAAGCAGTGGCCGAGGTTGGATCAGTCCATGGACCACATTCCTATTTCACCCAGACAAACCAGCTCCGACAACTGTATCATCACCCTTCTAGATAGTACTAGATACATGGCAGCCTTTTGCCCAAAATGAGATCAAGCTACTTTGTTGTAGTACTGTAGCTGCTTTTACTTGCTTTAGTCATTCAGGCCTGGCTGAAGCCCTTCTGGCTTTTGTTAGTTTGTATGCTGGTCATGCACCATGACTGATCAGGTCATGGGACGCCAGCCAGCCACTTCAGTCCAGGCCAGTCATAAAAACACAATGCTCTCTCACATTTCTCCGTTATGGCCTCTTTACTCAGCACCAAGTAGCTATTACTACAGTACTAGTATTAGTTCTGAATCCATAGTTAGTATTACTAGTATTCTATTCGTTCTGAATCCATAGTCTGGGGGGGGGGGGGGGGCAGCAGCTTCAGTCATAGACTACATGTATGACCCGGCTTCATTGCTATTGACAGAGTATTGTGTTTTCCTCAGTACACAGTGCGTCCTCCACCAAGTAATTAGTTGCACAATCATGTAGGGTGCTGTCAACCAATCAATATTAGGCATCCGTCTACACCCAGTAGCCTGTAGCTAGCTATCTATTCCTCACTTCTTTGTTGAGAGTTGGTGGACCTGCATCATTACATAACCTGGTACAGTACATCAGGTACATGGGGACGAGTGTCATGTTAGTCTTTTATCAAGCATGGCGTGTGCAGGATTTGTTCCCAGCTTGTGCTCCAACTCACCAGCCATTTCTTCCGCTTCAGCGATTTCTAACTACATTGTATTTTTAGACACAGGGAAGGAGAATCCGAAGAGGGCGAGGGCTTGTGGTAGTAGCAAGACTATAAAAATAATGACTATGTATACATGGTATAGGGTACTCTTGGTAGTAGCAAGACTATAACAACCCCCTGGGCCATGGGGGTTATGTACTCTTGGAAGTAGTTGTAGCTAGCAGTAGGGAGGCACTTGGCATCCCGGTGTGGTGTGCGGTAGCCCTCAGACCTCGAAGTGAACACGTGACCACTATGTACTACATGTACTTGGAATTGGGAGTAGTTGCCCTGATCTGCCTGTATGGATACCGGTAATCATACCCATGCTCGGGCAGCCTGCCCTTTGCGAGGCTTCGGGGATAGTTTGGGTAGTAGATCTACGCCTCTGGCGGCTGCACACCCTTGAGTCTTGGATATACAGTCTACATGTACATGTACATGTACATGTATGTAGTCGACTACAAGTTACAACAGTTACTGCTTCACTGCTTTATTCTTGCCTTTCAAGCCGCCCAATCCAACCTCCTAAAGTTTCCTTGTGGCAGTTCAGCGATCGCTACACACACCATGAGCTTCAAGGAATTAGTTCAACGCGTTAACGGTGTGTTCCTCAGTACTAGTATCATAATAAATATTATCTAGTTTGAATGCCTCGGCTATTCTTGTCGTTGCTTGCTGTGTGTAGGGTCCGGCGGATTCTGCCGGCAGAAACATTGGGTACTTTTTCTGGTAAGTTTCATGCATGTTTGGTATGTGGATAAAAAATGGAGCAGAATTCGAGGAATTGCCCGCCATAAGGTTTGTATGGTTCTGCCAATTTCACTGCTTTTCGAGCAGAATCTGCCACCTTTTCGAGCAGAATCCGCCGGTCCCTAGCTGTGTGGTCTGAACCAAAACTGATTTCCTTCCTTCCATTTCCTTCCTTCCGCCATACCGGACTTTTGTAGTACTTCTTTTTATCGCTTGTACTTCCGTTTTGTCATCTCCTCTTCATTCGCTTCTCTACAGTGGTGACGTTGTCTTTAGGCAGTTTGCCTGTTTTGGTTGCCTCTCTACATACATGTACCGGTACACATGGTACTGTAAAAGCAGAAATTTTCGGTGGTGTAATATTTTCGGTATTCGCCAAAATCGGCGGTTCGGTAGAGGACAATTTTCGGTAAAACCCGTTCTCCAGGTAAGTGTACTAGTACTACATGTATACAGTATCGGTTGTACCGAAAATTTCGGTGCGTTTTATTTTCGGTAAAACTTGTCGGCACCGAAGTTACCGAAAATAAAACACCACCGAAAATTTCTGCTTTTACAGTACATGTAAATACAAATACTTCAGCCGTTCAGGTCAGAGCTACTACATGACATGTACATGTATGTAGAGGCGATACTGAAGCCTTACATCAAACAATTACTAGTCGTTCCATTGCAAGCACTGCGGGATCATGGAGGGTGCCGGGACGGGGTCCATACCACGCCACGGTGCACGGATCCGCACAGGGAGTCGTTGCACACAAACAACGGCTTTGACATGCTTGCATGCGACCCCCTACGGGCTGCCGGCCGGCCCCGCACTCGGCTGCATATCATTGTTCCAACGGCCGTGGTCGTTGTTGTTGTTGCAGGGAGGCGCTAGGCCTACACATACCACTGCCAGGTATGTGTAGGCCTCCGTAGCTCCCTGGTTGTATACTGTATTTGGTGATCGGGTCCTGCTGGAATCGGCAGTGCCCGTGGGGGCCGTGGTGGAAGCCTCGGTCTGTCTAGCACTGCACCCACTGGAGACTTGAAATGAGAGCCTCGGAGTTGTATTACTAGTATTAGGACTTTAGGAGTTGACAAAGTGTGGGGTGACTGACTACCATGACAATTATCTGTCTGAGTTCAATGAATCTCAAGTCGACGCCGCTAGTGTTTCCTCAGCTTTCCTGCGACATTGAGTGGGTTGGACATGACATTTCAGCCTTTGTCACGTCACAATGTCAGCTCTGTCAGAAGTCGTACAAGCGCTGTATGCACCGTCCGAGTACACGGACGTCTCTTTCGTCCTCGACTTTTGAGTTTGGACTCCTTGACTTTGAGTTTCAGTCTTTTGTCTCTTGACTCTCGCCCTGACTACACTGAAGGTAGTGAAGCGACCGTACGTTGCTTTTTGATCCTTCGTCTTCGATGTCGATAGTCGGCGAATGAGTCGCCCACTGACGTGACTAGGGTCCAGCGGATTCTGCCTGCAGAAAATTGGCAGAATTCGGTACTTTTTCTGGTACGTTTCATGCATGTTTGGTATGTGGATAAAGAAATGGAGCAGAATTCGAGGAATTGCCCGCCATAAGGTTTGTATGGTTCTGCCAATTTTTCTGCTTTTCGAGCAGAATCCGCCGGTCCCTACTCCCTAGACTGTAGATCTACTAGTAGACCCAGGTGCTCGAAGTCCGTACACGTTTACAGTGTGTGTTTGCCGAGCTGAAACTCACACTAGCAATGATCACTTGCCAGAATCCTGCTCGTGGATGGAAGGTATCTTGTCCAAGTTTGTTTTGAGGCCAGGCTCGATTGAACCAGGCCATCTTTCGATCCGATCTGTTTCTCTGGAGTTCGCTCATTTTCCATATCAAAATTTGGTGTCGCAGAGGGTACTCTAAGTCCGTACTGATCAGAGGTGACTCGAAATACACACATATTTCTGCTAATTGCTAACTTGCAATCCCTCGGTTACGACGAAAGCACCGAAGGGATATGTTTGGCATGTGCCTCCACCGGTATTTCTTGCAAAAGCGTAGTTTGTTGCCGAAATGCAAGCTGTTTTTAGTCGGCTCAGAGAAGAAGCAGCTGCGCTGTGAAAACCGCGGGAAAACAGTGGTGGAGATGCCAGGAGTGTCAACCTTTCTGCAAGGATAGGTGGTTCTCTGTAAATTCTTCTCCTCTGGCCATTGTCAGCTCTAAGCTGGCTCTTGATGATTGAGTGAAGGTCTGTTTGACGCTGTGTCCGTTCGAAATCGGTCTTGGCAAAGTTGATTTTTGCATGAAATGTAACCCAATTTGTATTTCGTATGGACACTCGAAAACCCACTCCCGTGGTATGGGACTTCTGCTGATCGTAGATCCCTGAAAATTGGTACGCGAGGAGAACATACCACACTGTCCCCTCCATAAAATATTTGAGTCGAATACAATAACAGAACATGAAATTATGGGCGTACGAACTTAGGATACCATGTACGGACTTCGAGCACCTGGGTCTACATGACAATGACATCGTTACACATGATACATGACACGACTGTATACATATGTACGTACATCGATCAGCCGAGCTAGACTACAAAAAACTAGAGCTTTGTATATCTGCATAACAAACACAAACCACGTTCTGTGCATGCGACATGATCGTGCTCGTACTCATCCGTCAGTCCGGAGTCCGGCCGGACATCGTCGACACGTGCACAGCTAGCGTCTGTACGCTACATTTGGCAGTTCGTTTTCTTTCATTCGAATGATTCATCGTATCGGGTCTCACTGAGAGTTTGGCTTTTCCTTTGTCTGGCCTGGCTGGCATCTATTTGCAGTGTTCAAGAGAATAAAAGAACTGACGACAACAGAGGCAGTATCAGGATCTTAGGAGTGTGATCTGCTCGGCAGTCGAGTTCTAGTTGCCTCAGAGCGATTGCAAGGAACCCTACAAATTCAGTCGGCACAGTCATTTTTCCTTTGTAGAATAGTAGCCACTTGTGACTTGGAAAGAGGAAACGCTATTTTGAAACTACATGTAGCTCAGTTTGGACGGCCAGGAACGTCTGTGAAGTGAAGCAGCGGACACAATGTGTGGAATATGGGCATTGTTCGGGGAGTTTGGGGATATCTCTGAAATCCACTGCCAATGCATGAAGCTGACACACCGCGGGCCAGATGCATGGCGACTGGAGCGCATTGGTGGCCTGCCGAAGAGCTGCATCGGCTTCCATCGCCTGTCGATCTGCAGCCCATTGACCGGTATGCAGCCTTTGCAGGTTACGCACTATCCCCAGGTATGGCTGCTCTACAACGGTGAGATCTACAATGCCCCCGACCTGGTCAAAGAGTACGATTTACCCTGGGAGCGTGGCGTAGATGGTGAAGTCATCATTCATTTGTACAAGAAGTTTGGATTCGAGAAGATGGTCACGTTGCTGGATGGTGTGTTTGCATGCACTGTCATCGATGTAGAGAACAGATTTGTTGGTGTGGTGCGTGATCTGTTTGGTGTACGCCCGCTGTTCCACATCATGGACGAGGAACGTGGCGTCCTGGCTCTGAGTTCTGAGGCCAAGGGACTGGCGGATATGAAGAAGATCGGAAGTCAGGCAAAGTGGTTCCCACCTGGTCACTTTCGCACTTTCCGCATTGAAACCGACACGGAGCGTGTAGTCCCGTCTTGCGACTACACACGGTACAACGAAATTGGCGGCCTGGACTACACCCGCATTCCTCGTGTTACACTGCAAGACGGAGATATTTTGGGCAACATCCGGGCACTGCTCAAGGACGCCGTAAAGAAGCGGCTGATGGCCGATCGTCGTATTGGATGCATGTTATCCGGTGGCCTGGATTCCAGTCTGGTGACAGCATTGATGGTAGAATGTGCTAAGGAGCAAGGTCTGTCCTACCCCATACAGACATTCTCTATTGGTATGGAAGGTAGTCCGGATGTACTCGCCGCAAGGAAAGTAGCTGCTCATCTCGGCACGGAGCATCACGAAGTGCGATTCACACCGCAGGAAGGCTGCGAGGCAGTGCGCGAAGTTGTGCGCCACCTAGAGAGCTACGACATAACGACAGTTCGGGCATCGGTGGGAATGTACCTGGTGAGCAAGTACATCAAAGACAATACGGACACGACGGTCGTCTTCAGCGGGGAGGGTGCAGACGAACTTTGCCAGGGTTACATCTACTTCCACAAGGCACCATCGGCGGACGAGGCTGACGTGGAGTCTCGCCGACTTCTGCAAGATCTCTACATGTACGATGTACTGCGGAGTGATAGGACCACATCAGCGCACAGCCTGGAAGTCCGCGTTCCCTTCCTCGATCGTTACTTTACTTCTTATATCCTGTCACTGGACAAGGCAGCTCGGCAACCCATTGAGAATATCGAGAAGCATCTACTTCGCACGGCGTTTACCAACACTGGCCTGCTACCTGAGGAAATTCTGTGGCGACCCAAGGAGGCATTCAGCGATGGCGTGTCATCAACGAAGAAGGGCCAGTCTTGGTTTGAGCTTCTCCAAGCCTTTGTCGAGGAAAGGGTGAGTTCGGGCACCATAATATATGAAAGATACAGGGACACCATGCAGGCGTGAAAGTGGCAAGGATAGAGACTTTGCTTCAACTTTGCATTGTGTTATCATGTATGTATGTAAACAAGCATTGTGGATTTGTGCGGCAAGTAGTTTTAGTTCGGCAAGGAATACACTGTTGTGTGTGTGTGTGGTTGAGGGGAGGTAGGTCTGTTGTGTACTGTAGATATAGGATGCTGTATTGGTTATAGCTGTGGTTGTGACACTTGTGTGGTATGCTCTATAGGTGTCAGATAGCGACATGGCTCAGGCGAAGGCTACCTACCCGGTCAACAAACCGTTAACCAAGGAGGCATTCTACTATCGCCATCTGTTCGAGGAGCACTACAGTGGGCTGGAGCACTTCATACCATACTTCTGGATGCCTCGCTGGACAAACGCCACTGATCCATCAGCGCGTACACTGACACATTACAAGGAATAGGTAGGTGATGATTGCTGGCTGATTTTCAAGCTGCTGATGCTAGTTACTGGTGATACCCAGGGAAATGTAGATAATATTTTACTGGCAAGATGTGTATGAATTGACCCTGCCGTGACCTGCAAGCGCGCAAGGTGTTCTGGGTGTCAGTATGTCTGTGGGTTTAATTTTTTGGATGTGTACCGTATTTCCTGAATATAAGTCGCACCATTACAATATATGCGAGAGTTGAAGACGGAGGGGGGGGGGGGGGGGTGCGACTTACTATCGGCTATGACTTATTACTCAAGTGGACACACTGAAAGTAAAGGACAGAGACCTCAAAATGGGAATGGGAGTTTAATCTAAGCGAGGAAACATGGTGCTCTGTTTATGTCGACTGCTGTATGTCACTGCTTGACTTTAAAAAACTTGAAGTTTCACCTTTTCACCGGAGCTGTTGTGTGGCCACTTGCATGTTTGTTTCAGGTGCCGTGGCAGCTCTACTCAGTCTGTGATGGCGTGCGGCTATGCTATAGATGATGGAACACTACCGCAGCTGGTGTGCTGGTGCACCTCTGCTAAACTCTCATTTGCTACTTACTGCTAGCTAGCTAGCAGGTTCTCTTCTTCGTGTATGTTATTGATATCGTATTAACCGAAGCATTGCCGGTATTTTACTCGCATTCAAGTTTATCCCGTTCACTAGGAATTGCCTGTACTAGAGGCGGTGTGTTCAGTTATTAAACCACCGGACAGTCTTTCTTTTTTTTAGTGGTGGAAGCTAGCCGCGTATTTTTACTTCGCAGTTCATTTTATTCATTTCAGACGTGGTTGCAGGACGCCGCCTGGCCGTTTGCTAACTTATTGATTTGGGGGTTCTTATGCTGCCTGTGTGGGCTGCGTGGTGATTTCTAGTAGTTCCCTACGTAGTGCTGTTATAGGCCAGCAGTTAGCGTTGCACAGACTATTCTCTCAATTATGACACGAGCATTCGATGATCTGTATTATTCTCATTCCGATTCAATATTGCAACATGCCATTTTTACAGTCAGCTATTTTCACTTATGTACATTCATTTCACAGCACACTTGTTCTGTTATACTGTGCATTGCATTAGTTTAAATTTGCGAATGATGCCATGGTGGTGAGGCAGCGGATTCACTTCTCGCCGCGAAGTTTATCGTGAGTCAGCGGATTCGCTTATGGGTGCAGAGTATTGAGTAGCAAACTAGCAGTAGCGCAGCCAATAATCTATAAGGATACGCCTCCTCGTCTCCTAATCTTCTACTTCCACTGGGTGAATGAGGGCCTTTAAACAATCTTGAAAAGTGGACAGTGGGTACATGTAGAATGCTTTACAGAACTGATAATGGTGCTCTGGAGCTCTGCAGTTTACAAGAAAGTGTCTACGGACAGGTTGTTTTGCTGTGCAGTGATCATCAAAGATGTGAAGATCTCGATCAGGATCCTTGGTAGTATAGTGTGAGTTGCACATTCCGTGGTGACTTGAAAGCATCTGGGGTCGAGGTTGTTGCAAATGACAAACACACACCACATACTGTGACATAGTCACTTCAAGCTTAGGACCTTCTGCAATTATAGTATGCCTGTCACATTGTCATTGTGTTCATGCACAGTTGCCGATCAGGTCATGGAACTCCAGCCAGCCACTTCAGTCCAGTCACAACACACAATGCGGCTCTCACATTTCTCCGTCATGGCCTCTTTACTGGTACTGTACCAAATACATGTCCAGTCAACCCGTATTTTGGCCTGGGTGTGTGTAGGGGTGGGGGCGGGGCATAAACTTCAGTCAAAATCATAGACTGTGACACAGCTTCATTGTGTTCAGAATGCAGCCATTATGAATATTACCATTGGCTATGCATATTTGCTACTCCAGTGGAGAAGTAAACTTGCATAGTGCTGTCCTCGATTTGATGTTTAGAAAAACAATATCAACAAAACTGGAGATCTCCTGGCCTGATAGTGCAGAGAAATAGCGATAGTGGGGAGATTTGACAGTTATAATCAGTATCATCAGTCTAACGGTTACACTTGTCAAGCGTGCCAGAAATGGCCTCTACTCCGCTCTAGTCACCATCTACCCGTGCAGGATGCAAGATTTGTTCACGACATGCGCTCCGACGCCCCTTCTCTCTGTCTCTCTTTCTCTGTCTCCGCCTGTCTGTCTGTCTGTCTCTCTCTCTCTGTCTCTCTCTCTCTCTCTCTCTCTCTCTCTCTCTCTCTCTCTCTCTCTCTCTCTCTCTCTCTCTCTCTCTCTCTCTCTCTCTCTCTCTCTCTCTCTCTCTCTCTCTCTCTCTCTCTCTCTCTCTCTCTCTCTCTCGCACTCTGTCTGTCTGTCTGTCTGTTTGTCTGCCTTCCTGTCTGTCTGCCTGCCTGTCTGTCTGTCTGTCTGTCTGTCTGTCTGTCTGTCCGTCCGTCCGTCCGTCCGTCCGTCCGTCCGTCCGTCTGTCTGTCTGTCTGTCTGTCTGTCTGTCTCCCAGCCTGTCTGTCTCCCAGCCTGTCTGTCTGTCTGTCTGTCTGTCTGTCTCCCAGCAGAGATTCTTGACCAACACACGGAAGAGGAATCGTAAGTGGGCGAGGGAAGCACTTGACGTCCCGGTACACGGTAGCGAGTATCAAGCCGGAAAGCAAACACGTGACCACCACTTGCACCAACATGACGAGATTTCCCATGCCCGGGCCTTTCGAGGTATCGACCCTGCACTGCAGTGGTATCTTCATTCTTTATCATACTGTGGGAACTGTGGCCATACGCCCAGTGAGAAGGCAGATATTGCCTGTGCCCGTGCATGGTGAAGTAAAATAGAGCTAAACAAACAAAATACCAAAACTCGGATGTTGAACCAATAGTAGAAGTAAAGAGAAAGAACCAATAGGTAACGAGTTATGACTAACAGTCCACGATACAGTCAGATAGTGCGACAACAAGGCACACAACTGACAAGGATATTGAGACATTCAGCGACCTGACAGTGACACCTACATGTAGCTCCAAGTTGTCCAACACATCTACGAAGCGCAAACCAACAACCTTCCAATTTTGGAGGCTCAGGTGCAGAATGTTTCAATGAAGTGAAGGGATGCGCCACAAAGATATGCACGAGCTAGCTACATGTATCGGCAACAAAGAATGTCAAACGTAGCGTTACAGGATGATGACGAGACTACTGACTCTGTAGTAGGCCATATAGGAGGGTGGACCATTGCCATGGCATTGGACAAACCGGCCTACCTACAACTCGACTACACAAGGCAACAGACCACCCAACTTGAGAGGCTCAAAGGTACGTTGTAAAGTACATAAAGAGGGGAAGCTAAGCGAAGACGAACTGTCACACACCGAAAGTCAATTTGTTTGCGCTTCGTAGAGATGTGTTGGAGATAGGTGTCAGGTCGTGGAATGCCTCAATATCCTTGTCAGTTTTGTGTTTTATTACTCCGTGGTGTTGCCCATTTTGTTGGCTGTTGATAATGGTACCCACGAGGAGCTATGCCTAGGTCGTAGATCTACGAGTCGCATCGATGGACGGACACAGACGGTGCTGCTCATACCAGAGATAGACCGGGGCAGCAGAGGATATTATGAAGCTAAAACATATCATACCATTCATTCCATCGCAAGCACTGGATCACGGAGGGTCTATATCAGATACCACCACGGTCCATTGTAAGTAAAATGGTTAGCAACTTAGTTGTAACGGAAGGGCCACAGGAAGCTTTGGTCGAAGATTCACCGAAACGGCGAAGTTTTTGGCACGCTAGCATGCGACTCCCTACCGACTGCCCTGCACTCGGCTACACATCATTGTTCGAACGGCAATCGTGATGGCCTATGGGGATCCTGGATCTAGTCAAAGGACTCACTATCACTGATGGATACTACTTGTATCGTGGTATCAGTGAGTTTGGCTTTTCCTTTGTCTGGCTGGCAGTGTAGGTGAAGAAGTGTTCCAAAGTATCAGAATCTTCGAAGTGTAACCTGTTCGTCAGCCGAGTTCTGGCAGCCTGAGAGGGATTGCAAGGTAAATCTACCCTACAAGCTCAGTCCGCACGGTTATTTTGCTTAGAAGAAGAGTAACCACTCCGTGACTCGTGACTTGGAAAGAGGAAACGCTATTTTGAAACTAGCTCAGTTTGGACGGCCAGGAACGTCCGTGAAGTGAAGCAGCGGACACAATGTGCGGAATATGGGCATTGTTCGGGGAGTTTGGGGATACCTCTGAAATTCACTGCCATTTCATGAAGCTGACACACCGCGGGCCAGATGCATGGCGACTGGAGTGCATTGGTGGCCTGCCGAAGAGCTGCATAGGCTTCCATCGCCTGTCGATTTGCAGCCCATTGACCGGTATGCAGCCTTTGCAGGTTACCCACTATCCCCAGGTATGGCTGCTCTACAACGGTGAGATCTACAATGCCCCCGACCTGGTCAAAGAGTACGATTTACCCTGGGAGCGTGCTGTAGATGGTGAAGTCATCATTCATTTGTACAAGAGGTTTGGATTTGAGAAGATGGTCACGTTGCTGGATGGTGTGTTTGCATGCACCGTCATCGATGTAGAGAACAGATTTGTTGGTGTGGTGCGTGATCTGTTTGGTGTACGCCCGCTGTTCCACATCATGGACGAAGAACGTGGCGTCCTGGCTCTGAGTTCCGAGGCCAAGGGGCTAGTAGATATGAAGAAGATCGGAAGTCAGGCAAAGTGGTTCCCGCCTGGTCACTTTCGCACTTTCCGCGTTGAAACCGACACGGAGCGTGTAGTCCCGACTTGCGACTACACACGCTACAACGAAATTGGTGGCCTGGACTACACTCGCATTCCTCGTGTTATACTGCAAGACGGAGATATTTTGGGTAACATCCGGGCACTGCTCAAGGACGCCGTGAAGAAACGCCTGATGGCCGATCGTCGTATTGGATGCATGTTATCCGGTGGCCTGGATTCCAGTCTGGTGACAGCATTGATGGTAGAATGTGCTAAGGAGCAAGGTCTGACCTACCCCATACAAACATTCTCTATTGGTATGGAAGGTAGTCCGGATGTACTCGCCGCAAGGAAAGTAGCTGCTCATCTCGGCACGGAGCATCACGAAGTGCGATTCACACCGCAGGAGGGCTGCGAGGCCATACACGAAATTGTGCGCAACCTGGAGAGCTACGACATCCAGACAGTGAGAGGGGCTGTTGGACTGCACCTTGTGAGCAAGTACATCAAGAATGATACGGACACGCCGGTCATATTCACCGGAGAGGGCAGTGATGAACTTTGCCAGGGTTACATCTACTTCCACAAGGCACCATCGGCGGAAGAGGCTGACATGGAGTCCCGTCGACTTCTACAAGATCTCTACATGTACGATGTATTGCGTAGTGACAGGGCAATCTCAGCACACAGCCTGGAAGTCCGCGTTCCTTTCCTCGATCGTTACTTTACTTCTTATATTCTTTCACTGGACAAGGCAGCTCGGCAGCCCATTGAAAATATTGAGAAACATCTACTTCGCAAGGCATTTTCCAACACTGGGCTGCTACCGGAAGAGATCCTGTGGCGACCGAAGGAGGCATTCAACGATGGTGTGTCATCGGCGAAGAAAGGCCAATCGTTATATGAGCTCCTCCAAGCCTTTGCTGAGGAAAGGGTGAGTCCAGGCTCATCATGGCCCCGTGCTACAGTCACCAATAGATTTTCAGGACTTCTGCAGCATACTGTAAGACCAGATTTTTAACGTCAATTAAAGTTAACGATCTCCTGATTTTTGTGGGTTAGCGAGGTGAAATTCTAACGAATTCTGTCTCAAAACCTGCAAATGACTGTACATGTACATATCGTTTTGCACATAACGACTTTAATGTTAACGATTCTTCCAAATTCGTTAACTCGTTAGAATTAAATGTTCGTTAACATTACTGGTCTTACAGTAGGTACTTGACTGCTTGTGTACTGTGTTGGTCATACATGTACTGATGTAGTTGTGGTCATGGCTCTTGTCTGATATGCTCTACATGTATAGGTGTCAGATAGCGACATGGCTCAGGCGAAGGCTACCTACCCGTTCAACGCCCCGTTAACCAAGGAGGCATTCTACTATCGCCATTTGTTCGAGGAGCACTACAGTGGGCTGGAGCACTTCATACCATACTTCTGGATGCCTCGCTGGACAAACGCCACTGATCCATCAGCGCGTACACTGACACATTACAAAGAATAGGTAGGTGATGATTGTTTGCCAAGTTACATGCTGATGCGCTCATGCCTCTCATCCCACCGTGGTCCGTGACAGAGCTTTGCCCATTGGATTTGGATTGGTTTATTCCCCCCCCCCCCATAATTTTAAAATGTCCGCAATTCTGAATCACATTATGGGTACATTCCAATGGTTAGGGGCCAGAAATCTGGCATCTGATGTCACTATTTCCACGAACCGTTACAAAAGAGTACTCAGGGGCGTAGCCAGGATAGTGATCAAGGGGGGTGCCAAGACTTTCCCCACACAGATGTACATGCACTTATGTAGGTCCTTTCATTAGGCATATGCGGATAATGCCGGCAGAAAATTGGCAGAATTAGGTACTTTTTCTGGTAAGTTTCATGCATGTTTGGTATGTGGATAAAGAATGGAGCAGAATTCGAGGAATTGCCCGCCATAAGGTTTGTATGGTTCTGCCATTTTCACTGCTTTTTGAGCAGAATCTGCCAGCTTTTCGAGCATTATCCGCACACCCCTCGTGACCTTTCATGCACATTATTCGATCCGTGAAATGGGGGGGGGGGGGAGCAAAATTCGCCCCTAATTCGACGCTGAAGATCAATCAGTGAATGGCAAATCTCCAACCAGGGAGTAGTAGTAATTATTTTATTTTACTACACCCTGGCCTGCTTCCAACTAATGATGGACTAAGTCCTGGATGCTGCTTTCTCCAGAATTATCACACTCTCCATCGAACTTTTAAAGTGGGATTTCTCGAGCCATTTTTCCCCTTCGTCATGTTTGATGGTGCAGTAAGGCATCCTTGATCAAACCTACACTATTCCCCACAAAAACTCAAACTGCACTTCAACGTTACTTTCACTCTTCTACTGCTGTATTCACACTTGCAATGCATGAAAGAAACTTTGCCTTTCCACAACGAGACCAAATAACAGCGAGAACTACATTATACAAAACATCGCGAGAACAAACTGCTATGTCTGACGTGTGCTTTCCGGCCATAGACTGCATTGCTACTTCCTTGCTTCTACCAATGGCGTGTTTGTATGATTCTTTGCTTCTAACAAAACATGTGGAGTGCAATACAAATCATGTGCTGAGCCTGCTGAGGCCTGATGTGACACTGCACAACGCGGAGTTCCCTGGACTAGAAATTTCATTGCAAAATGGCCAATCATGAGACAAAAATTAATAGTCCACTAGCATGTGGATTGGTTTCAGATACATTGTACTTGCACTTGTCTGAACCGGGGAGTAGAACCTTGTTATGGAACTTCAGTCACGCAGGCATGCACGCCAACTCGACCAACAGGCAGTACGAAAGTAACTAGTTGTTATTCAGGAAAGAACATTTCAGAGAGAGAGAGAGAGAAAACAAGTTGAGAGCAAAACGACAACATAAGAACTACTGATGAACTCATGGCAAAGAGTTCCCAAAAGGCAACTGAGTACAGCCAACTCAGATGCATATGGATTATCGGGCTAGAGCGATACTGAGTGCGGTGGTACGACTTCTACGCACAGCACGCAAGACTCGCAACAACGCACTATACCGGAACTAACGATAGCATGATAAGACTGAACGCGTGCATACAGAAAACAATGCAAAACAAAGGAAACGCATCCATGCATCGTGTGCAGCAGACCACGATGATTGATGAAAGGGCAAACTGTCATACTGGGTGAAACACTACCCATGTAGGCTTACAGCATGATCAATGAATAGTGAAGCAATAGACAGATAGATAGGTTCAGTTATATATACATTACACCTCTCCCCTTGATGACATTAGTCACGGAACCGCTGAGGAGGACGGATTGCAGCCCGGCGACGAAGTCCGTAGGCTTGGTCAAGCTGCGGATCCATGTCGATTTGGATGATAGCAGGGATGTCATCACGATCATCAGCAGAGTCAACATCTGCATCTGCGGCAACAGGGTGAGGGTCGAGCTTGATCAGGTCGACATTCACTACTTTCTCAGCATTGCGACCACGTACAGGTTCACACCGTCGAATCACCACAGTCGAGGGGGACAGAACACGAATGACTTGCCAACCAGGTTCATACATCGGTAGATGCTTCTGGTGACGGTCAGGACGGCGGAGAAGAACGTGATCACCAGTGTGATAGACAGGCACAGTCTCCTCTTGGATGCGATCAGCGTCGGATAACTCGGATTCCACGAGGTCGCGCAGTCGAGCACACCGAGCAGGGTGATCCCGAGACCAGTTGCTGCCGTCATTCTGCTGCGCTGCGCGGATGGTGGCAACAGCCATGGGCGGGGCCACGGCGGGATTAGTGGTATCACCAGCGACAGCACACATCTCAGACTTGGCACGGCAGAGCTTCAACCATGGAGTGGGTACTCTTGTCAGCCGATCAGCCAAGTTGCGTTCAGAGGGCACCCATCCGACCACAACAGACAGGCCGGTGAGGCGGACAAGCTCGTCAATAGCTTGCAAGCGGCGTTGGACGAGCACATCATACAGACCGCTGGTCTTGACACGGCGGATGTCATGCAGCAGGTTATACAGCCAACCATGCACGGTCTTGGAGTCGGTCAGGAGGCGCACACTTGTGAGGCCGTAGGCGGTGGCACGCTGAAGGCCACTCATCACCGAATCAAGTTCGGCGACATTGATGTGTGTACGATCATCCTTCGGACGCAGCCAGCACGCATCCTCGATGACATCTGCACCGCATTGCACCACAATTCCGGTGGCAATGTTGGATGCGTCGCACCATACTGACCATTGTGCGGCAGGTGGAGCGGACCAGGCACCGTGTACCGGATCTTCTCCTTCAACGCGACCAGACAGCTCTTGGCAGAGGCTTACTACTTCTGGTGGTACCTTGGCGTCCCAGCCTCCAGGAGTGAGCGAGTCAGCCAACCTCTTCAGGTAGCTAGTGTATGGCCTGAGCCAGGAGCACACAGGGTTGTGACCAAGCAGGCGACCACACCAGCGGAACACATCGCGCTTCGTTGGGCTCGCTGGGCAGCAGAGGTCGACATCTGTGCGTCGTCGCCACTGCAGGACGTCGTTCGAGCTGTGAAGCTGGAGACCAAGGACGCGGGCTGATCGCAAGCACTCAGCAGGTTTGGTGGGTAGGCCAAACTTCACCATCTCGTCTTCCACCGTGGTGACGAGATCATCAGGCACGAACAAGTCGTCAACATAGCTGTCGACAGTAGGGTAGGGGCCAGTGACGTACTGTACGATCAGGCTCATCAGCTTTGGCGCAATCCCAAGGCCGAAGCCCATGCGCATCATGACGTACGGCTTACCCTTGTAAATGACGGTCTGGAACCTCGCCAGCGACGGATCAAGACGGACCTGCAGGTACGCCTTCCGTATATCCAGGATGTGGAAATTGTCACCAGCCTGTCGCCAGCTGCGCAGCTTCTCACCGCACACAGGGGTGTTGCACCCAGGGTGGTTGCGGATGAGCTGATTCAGCCCACGGTAGTCCAGTACAGGGCGAACCGGTGTTGAGGCCTTGTGCTCTTGGCACTTCGCAATCAACGGGAGGATGGCGCCCGGTGGTCCGTGAACATCCGCATCGTGTGGTACCAGCCAGCCTTGCTGGATCCAGGCATCTACTTCAGCATTGAACTGCAGCTCCTGATCGGCGGTGAGTTTGGCGCGGGGATATTCGCCAATCCCTGACCCAATCGGTTCAGCAGGTGGCATGTCGTCCCTCCAGTGCCACTTCATGCTCCAGTAGCCGGCGGCTGCATTCCAGTGCACCTCGCCATCATCAACACTTAGTGTGACATCGTCACCAGAGTGGTTGACCGTAACGTGGCGGGACAGCTTGGAGGTGCGAGCAGTACTGTCAGCTGGCTTAGGTGGCACATCAGCGGCAGCACTAACAGCAGCAGGCACAGCGGCACAGCCAAATGAGACGGACGACAGACACCCGTCAGCGTATTGCAGGTGCATACCTCCAGCGCGGGTCACTACATCGTTGCCGACGACCATGTCGGTGTTCAGGACACTCAAGTCTGGGACAACCAGCACAGATACGGCAGTCAGTAGGTCCAAGTGCACAGGTCCGTCGAGTCGACGGAGGTTCAGCAGGACGCTACCCAGTATCTTCAGCGATTCACCGTTGAGGGCGAGCATGTTGTCCGGACACTGTTCCATGCAACGCAGGCCATTGCACTTCTGGAGTGCGGCACGGCTGATGAGAGAGCGCGTGCAACCAGTGTCCACCACAGAACTCAGGCGAGTCCACTCGTCGTGTTTTTCGCGGCAGGCATCGACGTACACTCGGATGAGGGAAGACGATGATGTAGTCAGGGCCAAACAGCAATCGGTTTTTCCTCCTGGCTGGTCAGAAACACCAGCAGACGCAGTGCCCCGTGTTCTCCTGGTCGGGCAGTTTCTCCGGATGTGGCCTAGCTCGTGACAATGATGGCAACGAACTCGGCTGCTCTTCGAGGAAGATGGGCCTGCTGACGAGCTCTGCGTGGAGGGTTCCTGGTTCCCAGCGCGGCAGGTCTTCTTGACATGCCCAGTTTTCCCGCACGTGTAACAATACAAAGACTTCGCTGGTTCGGTGGCAGCAGCGCCAATGGCATGCGATGATGCAGCGCTTTCAACCAGTTGCAGAGCGCGAACCTTCTCTGTCACGTCACTGACGGAGAGGGCCTGTCCAGCACCCTGCAAACGAATGTCTCGCGCGAACGTCGGTGGCAAGCCACAAATCACCTGCTCCAAAAGGACCGGGTCCTTGTCGTCTGTAATCTTGTGGCCAGCTAAGCTCAAGTGGTGCTTCAGGTCAGCAACGTAGCCGTCCACAGCCTCATCAGGGCGTAGGCGACGGGACAGGAACTGCTGATAAGAATCAGCAGGTGCAGGCGCGAAGGCCTTTTCAAGTAGCGCTTTCACGGTTGCCTCCTTTTTCCTGTCCGCCTCCGCCATGGACATGAAGACTTTGAACGCCTGGCCATCTAGGACCAGGGGCAGGTGCTGCATCCGTTTTTCCTCCGTGTCCCACTTTTGAATATCCGCCAGTACACGGAACTTCGACCAAAACGTCTCCAGGTCATCTCCTTTTCCGCGGAACGTCCGCAGGAATCCATCGAGTTTCAGCGACATTATTTCCAAATCAAGGCCCACCACCAAGCGACAACACAGTCGCACCAGGTATCAGCGGGTTTCGGTACCAGATGTTATGGAACTTCAGTCACGCAGGCATGCACGCCAACTCGACCAACAGGCAGTACGAAAGTAACTAGTTGTTATTCAGGAAAGAACATTTCAGAGAGAGAGAGAGAGAAAACAAGTTGAGAGCAAAACGACAACATAAGAACTACTCCTGAACTCATGGCAAAGAGTTCCCAAAAGGCAACTGAGTACAGCCAACTCAGATGCATATGGATTATCGGGCTAGAGCGATACTGAGTGCGGTGGTACGACTTCTACGCACAGCACGCAAGACTCGCAACAACGCACTATACCGGAACTAACGATAGCATGATAAGACTGAAAGCGTGCATACAGAAAACAATGCAAAACAAAGGAAACGCATCCATGCATCGTGTGCAGCAGACCACGATGATTGATGAAAGGGCAAACTGTCATACTGGGTGAAACACTACCCATGTAGGCTTACAGCATGATCAATGAATAGTGAAGCAATAGACAGATAGATAGGTTCAGTTATATATACATTACACCGTCATGTGTCACACTTCTTTGGATTTTTAACCTTTGTTTTTCCCTTGATCTCTTTAGTTCCGTATTTCCACTGATGATCGGAACGTGAAAATCGATTTTGGAAACACACAAAACCAAACCTTGAACAAATTGTCATGTTGCGTGGTGATGTCTGCGGCATTCATACTTTCAAGAGTACATAACCCCCCAGAGTGTGCAACTCCACTATGGGTGCTGTCCCGACAGAATTTCAAGTTGACGTCATTTTGATGATGCAATGCGCACTGTACACGGATTATCAGACGAATCCGGAACCTGTGGTTGACCGAAGCAGATCGATCCTGTACAAATTATTGCAAAGAAAAACGTGTGATGCGTTGACACCCGTACACATGTTGTAAATCACTGGTGCAAGGAGCATTGCGTCATAAATAATGACGTCAACTTGAAATTCTGTCGGGACAGCAGGGTATGTGGGAGTTGCACACTCTGGGGGGTTATGTACTCTTGATACTTTTCATTGCTATTATTAAATTTTTGGATTTTTTCAGCTTTTTTCGCATTTTGGGTTTTTTCAGCATTTTTCAACATTTTGAGCATATTTTGCATGCTCATCGGCAGCCTCGATCGAGTGCACTTGGCTCTGAAGTGAAGAAGCCAAACAAAAATGATCGATTCCTTTCGACTTTCGAAAACAACCACATCCTTTGCACGCGCTTCCTCCACGTGCACTTGGAACGACAAGGTCCCCAAGGGATTCAGATTTTTCGCCATTTTGGTTGCCATGGTAACGGCAGCATAATTTTCGCATTTTGGGTGAAATTTTGAATTTTTTTAAAGATTTTTTTAAAGATTTTTTTAGCATTTTGGGTGAAGGAGAATGAAATGGACATTTTGGATGAATTTCCAAAAAATAAACGTTGATCCTTCAAAAAAACGCATAATCCGGACAGTCTGCACTCTACTCTCTAGCTCTGCATGCGCTCTGCGCCCGCCTAGCGCCGCGCGGCCCGCGCGCGCCTCTGACAGTCAATGACATCATGATAACTAAAAATTAATGATCTCGTGCATTGCATGCGAAGGACTAAAGGGACCGTCACTTAATTTTTGCCGACTACCCGCCAAAAAAATCTTTTCGTTTCACGTGCCAGACACGTCCGCGAGCGCGTACGACTCGCGCTCGCCCGGCCGCGCTACCTTTCACGTCAAGCAATCTGTTCACGCCGCGCCACATGGCTGGATTGGATAGCGCGTACATGCAGACATGATTGAAGACTTGCAAAATTATTTTTTTACAAGTCCAGGCGCTAGGCGCTAGGCCTAGGCAGTACTAATGCCAAAGGCAGCTGACTTTATTTTCGGAGAAACACTACTCATTGTAGTAAAAAGTAACAATGAATAGCGACATCATCTAGGAAGGATCGCTACCCTAACGCAAAGGAAAGGCCTTGCGCGGCTGCTCTACGAAGTGTTGAAGAAAGACTCATCAAAGTTAGTTGGTGGACGAATAACTCGCTGGCGCCGGAAAACTTGGCCCCCAACGATGGTGTTTGGTGAATCATCAAGCATAATGTCTTGTAGCAGTGTTCACCGAGGAAGGAGAACGCTCTAGCCGCTGCTGTTGTCCGTTTCATCCACGTTGGGCGTTAGCTGCACCGCGCCTATTGTGTTTTAGTATTCCATGGACACAATTAGCATTCAGAGCGATTGTGGAGCCACAATTTACTTCACACAGCGTTGTATTGTCCACGAGCGCAAACTTCATTATCAGCAGTAACTGTTACTCTTCATCCTACATGTAGATTTGGAGTATACACGGCCTTGTCACGACAGCGACAGCTCTACAGAGTGTTCAAGTGAGAAACATTAATTTCAATTGTTGGTGGACGAATAAATGGCTGGTTCCGAAAAACGCGGCCTGCACCGATGGTGTTTGGTGGATCATCAAACAGGGTGACCAGCAGTGTTCACCGAGGAAGGAGAATGCACTCGCCACCACTCCGATTCATCCAAGTGGGCGTTAACTGCGCCGCGCCTATTGTGTTTTAGTATTCCATGGACGCACACTAGCGTTCTCAGCGATTGTGGAGCCACAACATATCTTCATGCGGCGTTGCACTGTCCAAGAGCAGAAACGTCAGCAGTGACCCATCATCATACATGTAGATTTGGAGTATACACACCATGCGCCAATGGGCCTTGGCACAACAGCGGCAGCTCTACGGAGTGTTCAAGTGAGAAACATTTGTTTCGACTTTTGGTGGACGAACAAATCGTCGTAGCCGAAAAACGTGGCCTGCGCCGATGGTGCTTGAAACATCAAGCATGGTATGTGGTGACTGCGCGAAATACACAACAGTAGCACAGCGGAAAGAATAACTGATTGAACAGAAGCGTTGCTTTGTGTGTTTGCGCACAGGGCACCGGTCAACTCAGTGCAAGGCCACCCGCAAGTGTAATGTGTGTTCTCGCATGGGTCACCAATCAGAGTCACCATCATGTCACGATCTGCCCTGAATCGGTCCATTTAGTCCTTCGCCGAACGCGAAGGACTAAAGGGACCGTCACTTAATTTTTGCCGACTACCCGCCAAAAAAATCTTTTCGTTTCACGTGTCAGGCACGTCCGCGAGCGCGTACGACTCGCGCTCGCCCGCGTTACCTTTCACGTCAAGCCTATGTAACTTACTGCATAGGGTGCAAGGTGACCGTTGTCGGTTTACATGTACTCCAGTTATTACACCGTGCATGCACCGAGTCTGTGCTGCACTGTGCATCCATAGGTGTTCGTTTGCGGTAGCGCAAGGTGACACGTAAGGTTGATGTATTGTTTTGTCCGCTGCTATTCGAAGCTCTCGGAGTCGGAAGCGTTACCTCTGTTTCCCCTGTTCCTCCCTGCGCGGAGTCTGTAGTTCTGGCTTGCAGTCGCTGTTACATGCATGTTGGCAGTTGCATGTGTTTTGGTTTTCAGTTGTCTTTATTTGTTTTGTGTGGACGACAGTTCAATATTCTAGCAGTTGTTGCACTTCCTACATTCCGTAGTCATTATGCGGTTGGTGTTCGAGAGAGCAAACTGTGTTCTTCTCCAGAGTGGAGTAAACCATTCGCTTGTGTCTGAGGAAAACCCTGTGTGTTGACAAAGAGGTTGACTTGGCTGTAGAGTGAAAGTACCACATGGTCACATGGTCCACAAAATCTTAGAACTAACTTAGGGTCTTCTGGCGTATGGTATAATTATATGAGCAGCATGAGAGTGAAGTAAAAGACTATTAGCTCAAACATTCAGTCTTTCAAGAGTAGGTGTTTCATCACGGAATAGGTTCTGCAGTTCACTTACACACTGCAACAATGGACCAGCAGTGTCCAGCATACAATAGTCATGTGAATATGTACCGTATGCATACTCACAGCTGCAAGGCCAGCGCCCCGTGGCTGCTTGACTTCTCAAACGATATAAATATTGACAACAGTAAGACTCTGTGATCAATCAGAGCTGTGCTTCGAAGTAGTCACAAATGCCCCATGATCAGTCACAAAACAAAACTTGGCAACCAGTCACAGCTTCCACGGTGCGCCAAGACCAGTCACCAGAGATGACCGTAGTAAATCTGCAGGGAGTTTCATAATCTGTTCATTGCAGAGTCCACTATACTATGATTCAAGAGGGGGGAAGCGTTCCTGCGGATGCGGAAAACTTGGCTGGAACCCGAGTGTCACGTGAACCCTGATTTTTAAGACTTTTATTATTTGTTTTACGATGAGCCTATTATACGCGATACAGGCTTAGACACACTTTTCGTCTATTTGGCATATCAGGGATATAGGGCGGAGCAGCCCATATCCCCAATTATGACACGCGAGTTATAGTGAAATACGATTGGCGTATTGTGCTGGACTGACTGCAGTAATGTAAAGCTAAAATCAAGCAGTCAGTTTGCCCTTAGCATGGCCTTGTCATGAGGGTGCCACATCCGTGGAAAGGCAACATGCCGGCTAATCTCCCTGAGAAGTTGAGTGGTTATCAGCAGGCGATGACGCTGTGTCGATGATGACCTGTTGATGCCCGACAGGAACCTTGCGAGGAGAGTCATTGGGCCCGACGGGTAGGTAAAGCCAACTTCCACCTGAAGTTTGCGGATGGCCGACATGTAGACATGGACAGATCGGGGCTGAAAAGTTCTGAACTCGGCAGCAAAATAACACATAAAGTAAAAAGTCATCACCTGGCAATGGATTCCAGTCATGCCCTTGACAGAACTGGAAGTAACGGGTATCGGCGGAAAAATATTTCCGGCTGGTGCCAGTGCTGCTAGCTGCAGCACGGAGTCCAGCAACTGAGAGTTGGCAAGACTGGCTGATCTGGCTCAGCTGCTGCTTCCGGAGCCCTCGATGGTTCAAACACCATCGGCGCAGGCCACGTTTTTCGCCACCACCGATTTGTTCGTCCACCAAAAGTCAAAACAAATGTTTCTCACTTGAACACTCCGTAGAGCTGCCGCTGTTGTGCCAAGGCCCATTGGCGCATGGTGTGTATACTCCAAATCTACATGTATGATGATGGGTCACTGCTGACGTTTCTGCTCTTGGACAGTGCAACGCCGCATGAAGATATGTTGTGGCTCCACAATCGCTGAGAACGCTAGTGTGCGTCCATGAAATACTAAAACACAATAGGCGCGGCGCAGCTAACGCCCACTTGGATGAATCGGAGTGGTGGCGAGTGCATTCTCCTTCCTCGGTGAACACTGCTGGTCACCCTGTTTGATGATCCACCAAACACCATCGGTGCAGGCCGCGTTTTTCGGAACCAGCCATTTATTCGTCCACCAACAATTGAAATTAATGTTTCTCACTTGAACACTCTGTAGAGCTGTCGCTGTCATGACAAGGCCGTGTATACTCCAAATCTACATGTAGGATGAAGAGTAACAGTTACTGCTGATAATGAAGTTTGCGCTCGTGGACAATACAACGCTGTGTGAAGTAAATTGTGGCTCCACAATCGCTCTGAATGCTAATGTGTGTCCATGGAATACTAAAACACAATAGGCGCGGTGCAGCTAACGCCCAACGTGGATGAAACGGACAACAGCAGCGGCTAGAGCGTTCTCCTTCCTCGGTGAACACTGCTACAAGACATTATGCTTGATGATTCACCAAACACCATCGTTGGGGGCCAAGTTTTCCGGCGCCAGCGAGTTATTCGTCCACCAACTAACTTTGATGAGTCTTTCTTCAACACTTCGTAGAGCAGCCGCACAAGGCCTTTCCTTTGCGTTAGGGTAGCGATCCTTCCTAGATGATGTCGCTATTCATTGTTACTTTTTACTACAATGAGTAGTGTTTCTCCGAAAATAAAGTCAGCTGCCTGGGCATTAGCCTTTGGCATTAGCCATTAGTACTGCCTAGGCCTAGCGCCTTGACTTGTAAAAAAATTGATTTTGCAAGTCTTCAATCATGTCTGCATGTACGCGCTATCCAATCCAGCCATGTGGCGTGAACAGATTGCTTGACGTGAAAGGTAGCGCGGCCGGGCGAGCGCGAGTCGTACGCGCTCGCGGACGTGTCTGGCACGTGAAACGAAAAGATTTTTTTGGCGGGTAGTCGGCAAAAATTAAGTGACGGTCCCTTTAGTCCTTCGCCTCGTGCATGGGTCACGGGTGACCATGGTGACTGGCTTCATTCATCCGTCATATCGATGTGTCGACATGATCATCGCTTCGATCTTTTGAAATGAAAATGCAATCTGACATGTACTTTCCTTGTTTTCTTTTGTTTCGTTGGATGGTGTTTGTTTTGCAAACTAACGCCTACTACTTTTCTGATACAAGTCCAGCCATCAATCATTTTCTTGGAATCGATGAGAGTCCAAAGGGACTCTTTATGATTTCAGTCTTCAAAGGAGAACCCACTCAAGTTGAAAGAATAGAATTATTATTAGCCACCAGAGATATTGCACTTTGTGTTCGAACATGTTCAGAACTCTGATGTTAGAAACACAATTCTAATTCAGTTTCACTACGGCACGGGCTGATGACCTGCGTGTAAAGCTATCATAACTACATTGTGCATGTAGAGCTCTCTGTTGCGAGGGTATTGTATTTTAGTTGGCAAGTCGATGTGGTCGTCAGGTCGAGAGCTAGTGGCGTTGTGCACAGCTGCACGTCAACTGGAAGAATAATAATCTGAGTGAATTGGAAAGTGATCCTTTTGACGAGAATCATGTCGGCAAGCTCGAGTCAGTTTATTGACCCTGAGTTCAAGAGCAGTGTATTCAAGAAGCGTCACCGTGTTGAGGAGTTGTTCGACTTTGAAGGCTGCAAAGTGGGGCGTGGAACCTATGGCCATGTGTACAAAGCGAAAAGCAAAAGCTCGTAAGAATTCAATCTTTAATTTTCTTATACAATGTATCTGCATATCTGTTACAGTGCTAATAGTACATAATAAAGAGTGTGGAACTCCTATCTTGAGCTGCGATTGACTAACCCACTGCAGGATTTTGTTTAGGAGTTAGGAAGGCAGTGCCACCTGATAGCTGCCCCAGCTGCGGCACCATAAGGTCATGTATCTACAGCCGTATCCCACCACTATCACCACCACCACCAAAAGGACTGGCTGTCACTGTGTGTCTTGTTCAAGCGGGTCACTATGAACGCATTGGCTTGACAGCACTCTATTTGGGCATGACTGAACCGAAGATCCATTCATTGACAATGTAGCATGTATATCGAAGTACACGGAACAAAATTGTACGGTGTAGGCCATTGATACTATGCCAGGTATAATGAGTGACAATGATACTATGCCAGGTGTAATAAGTGGCGATGTCATTGTTTCTAGTGAACAACCTTGAACACCAATAATAAGGCTGCAGTTGGGTTGCTACATGTGTTGCTCTCAAAGCCAATGGTGTTGCCTACGTTGCATGCTCATGCTCACACACACATGCACGTGCACACACACACACACACACACGCACACGCACACTGTACCGTACTTGCTAACTGGTCACGTGGGTCTCCCCGGGAGAGGAGAAAGGGACTCAAAAGGAATCTTGGAAATATGACTCCATTGGCAATTGAACCGCCCAACAGCTGACACCCCCTGAAATCCCCAAACTCTGGGTGGATTTAGAAATGATCCCACTTACGGGCTCACAAAGTAAGTGGGTGAGGACAAGGTGCAGAAACACACACACGCACACACACATGCACACACACACACACACATGTGCCCACACACATACATTCTCACTTTCTCATTCGGTCTCTCTTTGCTGTTGCTTTTGTACCATTTCTTTACGCCATAGGAGCGATACGCGAGAGTATGCATTAAAGCAAATCGAAGGCCGTGGATTGTCTCCTTCAGCATGCAGAGAAATTGCTGTAAGTTGCACCTATATAGGTGTACATCATTAAATTTTACGTAAAACAACATTCCTTTTTCTTGGTAGTATCGACTAGTAACTATTGACAACTTGGACCCACTGTTAATCGAAGGATATACTTTGATGTGTGCTGTAAAACACCTTTATTTCTGTGTAATTTAAATTTCGGAAACTTCGGTAGAGGTCCCGGATCACCTAATTTAACATTAGGGGTCGTCCGTAATTATCGAAAAATTAAAAAATCCGTCCTCGTGCAAAATTGTCTCTGACCCACCTACCCACCCACCCCCATTTTTTCCCATTAATTTTTTGATTTTTACCGATGCCCAGCTCGAAAATAAGAACTCCTGACCTCATGTTCGCTGATTGCACCTATGTCAAGTACATGTAGTAGTACTAAGAGTATAATCCCCCAAGAGTGTGCAACTCTGCATATGGGGTCTCCGACGGCGAAAACTCACATCACGTGTCTCAGATACCTTTGTACTACGTACAAACGTAGGATAGCGTGCGCGCAATCCGAAAATCTGCCCTGATCATGCTGGGGATTTGCATACGCGCAATGAGTTTCTGTCAGAGAGTGCTTTTTTAGTACTCCGCTGCTCGCTAAAAACGGGCTGGAAACGTACAACTGCGACACTGCACCACGTGATGTGAGTTTTCGCCGTCGGCGTACCCCATAGAAAGGGTATCCGGAGTTGCACACTCTTGGGGGGTTATAATACTCTTGCTAGTAGCTAGGTCAGTGAGTAGTAGGTCTACCGACGCGACGGCCATGCACGTCCTACAACTACATGAAGAGTCATGTATATCATACTGGTGTTTGCGATCCTACCCTACATCTACAGTACACTACACAGTCGGTGCAACAAGTGTATGAAAGTCACTGAAGTAAAAAAAAGTAAGAAAAATCAAAAAATTAAATTCCGCCAGCACTCTTGACCACCCCCCTTTTGCCTGCGGACGGATTTTTTAATTTTTCGAAAAATACGGACGACCCCTTAGGGCATGTTCAATTGGTAGGATCGGGATCCCGATCCACCGGATCCACTGGATTCGCACCCTTTCGATTGGTCGAATCCGGATCCGGATCCTTCGGATTTGGATCCGGTCAACCCACCTCGGGGAGCAGGGTTGACCGGATCCGAATGTGACCTTTGTGCGTATATGGCGGGTAATAATCGTTTTTGTACACATTAGTACATTGTGGTACGCACACGTGGATCGAGATAGAGCTTGTGGACTTTTTGTACAACTGGCGCGGTGAGTACGACTTTTCATTACTTCGTCAACATAGCAACAGTCAAGGCCCAAAAAAGTGTCCAGTTGACTCTGAAGGATCCGACGGATCTGAGATCTGGATCCCGATCCCGATCCTTACCAATCGAACATGCCCTTACACCTAAATTTTCCGAAATGCCAAAAAATGTAAAAATCATGAAAATCATTGCCACATCCAAAATCATGAAAGTCACTGTCATTAAAAAAATTTAAGTTGTATACTGGTAGTACTGGTACTATGTACAATGTCTAAAGAGTCATTGAATACGTACTAGTACATGTATTGTACTTCTCTAGAACTCACTGTACTAATTGTAGCATTTGTGTACATGATTGTGCAACATTGTTTTTGAGTTTGCCCGTACAAGAGGCTTTTACAGTTTAAAAAAGTGTAGCATTATTGCATTAGCCATGTAATTTACATGCACTAATAAGTACTAGTGCTACATGTAGTATCAAGTTGACAGAAGTATACCAACGACAGGAACAGCCAGAGAATGTGCTAGTAGTAGTAGAACGAAACGAAAGCGATTACAATGCAACAGTACTAGTAGTAGACCAGAATGCTGCCCTAGAATACGGTCTGGATGTGGACTTATTTATAGCAAAGAAATAACTGCGTGGCATAATTTGTCTAGTACTTGTCTTGACAGCAAAGTCAACAATGTTTCAGCCGGCCAAGAACAACTGAACAGATGGCGGTGCACGACAATGGTTCTCGGCAAAGGAGAACTGCATGTGGGTGCTTTGAAGGTGTTTAGTCACTCCTGTGCTCGACCATCTAGGTGGAAAGAGAGAGAAACGTAAGTGCTGCTCCACGTTCAAGTGACAAGCCATTCATTAAGCCATTGGACAAAAGGTGTACCCATGATTTAACTGTAGTGCAGCTAGCAAGCAGACCACCACGACGGCCGTGAGCATGGCTGTCCATCACTAGACATTGCCCATCTGGTGCGAAGATCACTGCAACCGACTTTCCCTTCGCGGTGAAAATAGCTGGTAGAGGCACAGAGCTATCAGCCCGCTCCAGATACGTGGCTATCTCCAGCTCAGCTTTGTCGTGGGTGTTGAATCCCAACTCTCCATACTGAGGAATGGCTAATCCCATACTCGCTTCTGCTACGACATCATATGCGCTGAGGAAGGGGCTCCCCTTCGGACCAAACACTTCATCGTAGAGGCTGTTGCCTTTCCGGATCAGAGCAACAAAGTGCTCTGGCAGAGAAGGTGATGGAAAGCTGGAGTAGGAAAGCTCCTCTGCAACCGTGATATCTGACAACAAAACCGCTTTACAGCAGAAACTGCTAATGACGGTACACGCATGGCTCATTGAGCGTCCATCCAGCCTGGATTGGCAGTCGGTGGAGTCAATTTAGTGCTCTCTTAACTTGATTTGTTCTTGGGTCTGGAACTTCAGAACACCTTCTAATGCTGCCACCATGCCACTTGTCTCCCAGCCATGACGGACTAGCGCTGGACGAGACGATACAGAAGCAAAAGCATCAATTGTCCAACGACGAGGTTTGATGATGGACAGTCACAGATCTGGCTGCACGAAGCGAGTGGCTGAATCTGCCACTTCCTCTCCTGTTTCGTCAGACTTTTTGATGGCATCGCATACCTCTTGCGCATACTAGAGCGAGAATCCCTCCTAGCACTTCTCCTTCAATGGACCGTTCAAGCTGAGGTCTAGTGGCTGCAGCTCGCTTGTGCAATTTCCAGGCACGAACACAAGCTCAAATCCACTGTCTGCAAACTGCTCAAGAACTTCAGGAGTGCGATTTGCTGCGTAAATATCCTGGTAGAGCAGTTGCGGTGGGAGAAGCTTCCCACCTATTGTACATCCGACAACAGCAGTAATCTGCCGCTTGTCGTCTGCTCCCAGCATTGGCACATCCTTGGATCCTTTTTCTGCCAGTGTCCAGTCAGAGGAAGGAACCATTGACAGTCCAGTCTCATCAAAGTTGATGATCAAGTCGGCTGGAATGTCTTGCTGCTCCACTGCTTTGACAATCCTCTCCAGGAATTGCTACTTGAGCTCGGGAAAGTTGTCAGGCAGCTTCCTTGCAGCTTTGGTGGCCTTTCGTCTGGTCAAGTTCAAACGCTGGTGAATAGAATTCACCCAGCCAACAGTAAGATCGAGGTATCCACCGTTTTCACGGAGCAATGACGGTTTTTGGGAGCTCACGATCCCATTTGCAGTGGCAATTGTGATGCGCTTACTGATCACACCACCTTCACCACGAATGTCACGCAAATATCGACACACCATCTCATCAAGTTCCGTAGGCAGCAGCGTTGTCCGTCGTCCCCTAGGCTGATGGCTAAGAGAAGTGATGGCACTTGGATCTGCTTCTTTCCCCAAGTGCTTCTTTTACTGCGCCACCATGCTCTGGATCGTTGTGTACGTAACACTGCGGCCAAACTCCTTTGTGAAATGCTCCGAAGCTCTCGAGAGGCCGTGCAAACAAGCATACTTCGCCATTCGCAGGCGTGTTTCATCATCATACCTGGCATAAGGTCCCCGTTTAAAGGGAAAACTCCAGCCCAAAATGGTCTTCCTCTTAAAAAATAGAGGGCCATGAGAGGAAGGAAGCAAGGAAAGTAAGTGTTTCACCATTCTATCACTTAGGCCGCACTCTAATGGATTCCGCAATAAAAAATGGGGCTCATTTTGGATCCGAGTTCCCCTTTAATTCCTTACACATGTCCGCGCGCGCGCGCGCGCGCGCGTGTGTGTGTGTGTATGTGTGCGTGTGTGTGTGTGTGTGTGTGTGTGTGTGTGTGTGTGTGTGTGTGTGTGTGTGTGCGTGTGTGTGTGTTTCTGTCCCGTCCCTGTTTAGCTGCTACGAGAGCTGGACCACCCCAACGTACTGCACATGAGACGTGTCTTCCTGTCGCACGCCGATTCGAAAGTGTGGCTTCTCATCGACTACGCCGAGCATGACCTATGGGTAAGGGTTATTATGCGTGTACCCATTGCTGTTGAGGTTATTATGCTTGTACCCATGACTGTTGAGGTTATTATGCGTGTACCCATCACGGCTGTTCACGTGCAGGCACTTATCAATATGGCGTCGTTCGGTGCGATTTATGTAACATTGTGCGAATAGTACAAATATGCGATGAGTTTGCGTTTTTGGAAGAAACTCATGTCGATCCTCCTGTAGTTCCACGACTTGGGACGCGAAACCAAGAGAAAAGTTTTGAAAGCGCTCGAGCGAGATACTCGACTTTTCGGCAATTTGAGAGAGAAAGAGGGTGGAAAAGCGTCCTGGCCTGCCCAGTTAGCTGTCTTTCCGCTTCAAACTTGCTCGAACTACTCCTGGCAGTCTGGAGATTGATCTCGCCGTGTGATTGCCAGCCTGCCAGCCTCTGCTTGGCGTGCTCGCGTGTACAACATTCAAGTTAGATATTTCGTAATCGTTCAACGCACAATAGGGTAGATATCACAATTTCAAGCTCACTTGGCCGGCTGCTGTCTTCTTCTACAATATCCCACATGCCGACTAAGCAATTTACAGCAGGAAGCAGCCTTCTACACTCAACAGCAACTAAAGGGCCACACCAGTTGTCTTCCAAATCAAGAGGAAACCGGCTCCGGACTCGTCGCGCGTATTTAGAAGTTCACGCTCGTATTCTAATGAAACTTGGGGAAGACAACCAGAGGATAGTCCTCTACCTGGGAAAATATCGATCTAAGCTGGGAAAAAATCGGGAAGGGCTTCTCGGAGCCGAGTTTGTCAGCGACGACACAAGGAGTATTCCAGAACGAAGCCAAAGTCGCACGACACAGAACAAATGTTTCTTGAAGGAAAGGCAGTCATGTGAGGTACGAGCGGAAAGCTTGAAACAAGACGGAGATGATCAGCGTGTTCCCCGGGCTGTCCGGGCTGACTAGTCTCCAAAATCCAGGGGAAACCATGGCCTACTCGTGTTCTGACGATTTGAAAATTCAAATTTTCTTGCCATTGAAGCCCAATCGAGACTTTCGGCGGCCATATTGTTAAGTGGCGTGAAATCGCACAAAAAAACAGCCGTGCCATGGCTGTTGGCATGCACTCAGTGCTCACTGGTATCTTCTTGACCTCCAAGCTCTCTGTTACCATTGTGCTATTTGAAGTACGTCCACATCAAGTGGAGTAGTGCTGTTTCAATGCTCACTTCATTTTTTGGTTGTTGGTTGGCTAGTTGCATGCTGCAGTTGTGTAGATTTGCTTGGGGTATTTTATCCCGGTGGGAACTCTTTTAAATTTGCGGACCCATGTGTTTCGCAGAACCAAACTCCAGCGCGTGTGGTGAGGGTTGTCCCGGTGCCCCTATTGAATTTTGCCATCTCCATGATTGAGCGAATGTGTTTCTTGTGTGTATGTGTTCTCAGCACATCATCAAGTATCACAGAGCCACCAAGTCTCCCAAGCGACTAAACCCTCCCCCACCGCTAATGGTCAAGTCGTTGCTGCACCAGATCCTGGCTGGCATGGACTACTTGCACTGCGGCTGGGTTCTACATCGCGATCTGGTAAGCTGGCGTAGCTCGTTGTGCGTGTGTCCGTGCGTCTGTGCGTGCCTGCGTGTGAGTGTGCGTATGTGTGTGTGTGTGTGTGTGTGTGTGTGTGTGTGTGTGTGTGTGTGTGTGTGTGTGTGTGTGTGTGTGTGTGTCTGTGTGTGCGTGTCTGTGTGTGCGTGGCTGTGTGTGCGTGGCTGTGTGTGCGTGGCTGTGTGTGCGTGGCTGTGTGTGTGTCGTGTGTGCATGCGTGTGTGTCTGTCTGTGCATGCGTGTGTGTGTCTGTCTGTGCGTGCGTGCATGCATGCCTACGTGTGAATGTGTGCATGTGCGCGTGCCTGCGTGTGAGTGTTTGCACATGTGCGTGCGTGAGTGTGTGTGGGGGTGGATGGGTGTGCGTGAGTGTGTGTGGGGGTGGATGGGTGTGCGTGAGTGTGTGTGGGGGTGGATGGGTGTGCGTGAGTGTGTGTGGGGGTGGATGGGTGTGCGTGAGTGTGGATGCATGGAAACCTGCATTATGTTATGCAGTGCAGAAGAATAGGAACAGCTTTGGAATGAAAGATTGTGTGATGCTATACTCCAAGGTTGCCGCAGTTCTCGAGTAAAACGCTCTGCCACTCCTGCCACTGCGCATTCAGGCTGAGTAAAGAATTCTTCAATGCATGCTTACATTGTGTACTTCGCTCTTGATCTGACAGTCCTTTGGTGCAGAAGTGTTTGAGACCATAACGTGTGCGAGTGCTGTTGTGACTAGCTCTGTAAGTCCCGTTATGGCTAGCTGTCCTGTTTCCGTCCCGGGACCATAGGCCCTGGGAGCCAGAGATGCAGTAGATCTGTTGTTGTGCATGTTGGTTCTTACTTGCCGAAGCGTTTCATTGTCCACTACTCTGTGGGTGTGTGTGTGTGCATGTGTGCACATGTAACCTTCAGAAACCTGCAAATATCCTGGTCATGGGCGAAGGTGCGGAGCGAGGTAGAGTCAAGATAGGTCAGTGCATCTTTCAACCAGGCCGAGACGGTTTTATTTTACTATTATTCTTGTCTTCAGTTCAGAAACTGGTGTGTGGATGGTTTTCTTAATGTGAGTAGTATAGCTGGCATAGCAACGATATCCAGCCCTTGTTTCGGTCTCCGGGTGCTTGAGAAGGTACGAGTATGTACGACAAGGTATAATCTTGCTGGTCTCAGAAATATCAGATGGAGTGGGTTTTAGGTTGCTCCACCAGTAGTACTTTCTTTGTATGACTGCTTCCAAACAACTACAAAGCTTATGGTTATTCTCCTGTGCCTCTTGTTTCGTTTTTATTAATTTAAATGGGGGTTTTGGACAGCAGAATGTAGGCGGTCACCCCTCGGTCAACGGAAAATGCTGGAACAAGAATCTGTCAAACCATATGCCATCTCCCAGCAGTCATTGCTATCCTTTATCCATTATTATCTGTCTGCATGGTAGTCTCGTACACACATTGCATAGGCCTTGGTGTGAAAGGTCACTCAGTAAAGACAGTCAGTACAAGCAGTGTGTGTTTGGTTTATGTTGTGTTATTGCAGCTGACATGGGCTTTGCACGCTTGTTCAATGCTCCGCTAAAACCACTTGCTGATCTGGACCCTGTGGTGGTTACGTTTTGGTACCGAGCACCGGAGCTGCTTCTCGGAGCTCGCCACTATACCAAAGCCATTGGTAGGTGTCTAGTGCCTTGTACTACGTAGTGCCAGCAGACACAGAGTACTGTAATTTCACAAATTTTCGGTGTACTTTTATTTTCGGTACTTTCGGTGCATCTGTTTCATACCTAAAATTTCAAACACTAACACACATAATCCAATAGGGAACTGCTTCTCTGTACCGGAAATTTCTGTTCACCTAACCTAGCCTTTTGCTCTCATACCGAAAACATTGAGCACCGAACATTTCTGAAATTAGAGTATGTTCAATTGCTTTAAAAGCACACCCAGTGCTGGTAGAGTCCAAATAATTCGAACCCCACAAATGCCAGGGAAAAGTTCTAATTTTCCATATCTGTACCCAGAACACATTCTGTATGTCAAAACGCTTGCAGTATCATGCAGAGTTGTGCTGTGCACCATAGACGCCGCTTTTGCTGACGCTTAGCTGGCCAGTACCGCTTGTTCATGCACGCTGAACTGACCAGCACTGTGTACAGTGAACTTTGAATTTCACCTTGCTAACTTCGAATTATAAGCAGTAATCACAATGTGCTGGTAACCGTAGGTTTTATGGGATATCCAGTGATTCATGATTACCTAAACAACTAACTTCGCCATGGGCAAACTTTCTAATAACGACTGCGGATATAACGACAATTCGCGAATAACGACAGAATTTCCATGCCCAGAGCAAAGTCCCATCCCACTGTGATACATATAATGAGACTTCGGGTATAACGACACTTCGCGAATAAGGACACCTTTTTGATGCCCCGCCGAGTGTCGTTATACGCGAAGTTGACTGTATCGTGAATCAGGAGTTACACATTGTGTTTGATGTACGCTCTTTAAAGGGGAAGTATACCCTAACATCAAATGTTCACCAGTTGTAGTCTTCTGGGTGCTGAGTCGAATGGTCTTGGTCCGAGGAAGCTGAGACGCTCCCTTCCTACTTGAATCCCAATCGAATTCGCGCACTTCCACCGAAACTGGGTGACTGCGCCCTACTAGATGGGGATTTGTATGCAAAATGTCACTAAAAGCGCCATTTCGTTCTTATAAAAGCACGGATGACCGCGATCGGCCCATATGTTGTAGTCTTTTGGACGCTGAGTCGACTCGTTTTGGTCCGAAAAGGCTGCGATGCAGCGTTCCTCCTTTATTCCCAATCGAACATGGTTGAACAAGCGGTCACGTGCTCCTGCGTACACCAGTCACCTGGTCACCGTGCCTGCAGGGTACAACTTGCTAGCCTGTTTGACCTTTTTTGGGTGCAGTCCTGTCACTCGAGTTGAACTCGAGTTGAACCTTGGTGTGAAAGTTGTCGCCTGCTGGCGCGGTGACTAGGTGATTTGGGCACCCAGGAGCACGTGACCGCTTGTTCAACCATGTTCGATTGGGAATAAAGGAGGAACGCTGCATCGCAGCCTTTTCGGACCAAAACCAGTCGACTCAGCGTCCAAAAGACTACAACATATGGGCCAATCGCGGTCATCCGTGCTTTTATAAGAACGAAATGGCGCTTTTAGTGACATTTTGCATACAAATCCCCATCTAGTAGGGCGCACTCACCCAGTTTCGGTGGAAGTGCGCGAGTTCGATTGGGATTCAAGTAGGAAGGGAGCGTCGCAGCTTCCTCGGACCAAGACCATTCGACTCAGCACCCCGAAGACTACAACTGGTGAAAATTTGATTTTAGGGTATACTTCCCCTTTAAAAGTAATAATAAAGCGTTGATGCTACACAACTGTGCATGTGTCACAGAGAATGAATTACCGCACACGCACACACACCACACACACACACACACACACACACACACACACACACACACACACACACACACACACACACACACACACACACACACATGCACGCACACACGCACACATGTAGAGGGGAGATTTGTGGGTGTCCAACCATAGCTATGGCCAGGACATCCCTGTATTTGCTTTTGGATAACGCAAGCCATGGCCATTGTGTGTGTGTGTGTGTGTGTGTGTGTGTGCATGCGCGCATGCGTGTGTGTGTGTGTGTGTGCGCGCGCGCGCGTGTGCGCATGATGCATGCGTGATGCATTTCTCGAACTGCTCAGATATTTGGGCAATTGGCTGTATATTTGCTGAGTTGTTGACGGCTGAGCCGATCTTCCACTGCCGTCAGGAGGACATCAAGACTAGCACACCTTATCATAAAGATCAGCTGGAAAGGATTTTCTCTGTCATGGGGTTTCCCCAAGGTTAGTAGGAGTGTGTATGTACAATGAACTGCACACTGTGTGGCTCTGTCACCTACCGGTCACGCTACGTATGTCAGCAATGTTCCTAAGACTCCTGCTGCGGTTTCTGTAAATCCGTGTGTTTCTTTGCGTGTAAGGCACCCACACTGATTCCCCCTCTGCCATTCTGATTCTTCTGGCAGCTGTGCCTTGCTTGTAGTGTGCAAGCAATTTTTTTGTTTGTTTGTTTTTTTGGGGAGGGGTTTCCATCATACATTCAATCTTGAGATCAACAGCATTCGTCCCAATGCGTGGGCAAATGCTGTGGTGTGGGAGTCGTGCTATTTTTGTTGGAGGTTGAGAGTTTGCTGTCAGATAGCAAGTCAGTCTGCTGAGCAGCGGCGTCCGCCACTCACGATTTCCGCACGCCTAACGTCGAGGTTATTCTCGTTGTCGACTGTTCTTGATATGTGTTGTTGTTTTTGTTTGTGCCGCCTACGAGAGTATAGAATAGATGTTTTTTTATGGAGAATGTATCTCATGTGATACCCTGTGTG